GGGCGGGCGTTGTCCTGGCGTCGTATCGTGTGACGTATAACGTATGGTGTCAATGTCGTCGTCGTCGTCGTGCGCTCCGGCTCCGCGGGTCCCGACGGCGTGCGTGTATGGTATATGGTGTGGCTGGGGTGCTCCTGGGTAGCGGCGGCAGTGGCAGGCTAGGCAGCGTGGAGCGGAACTCAGCGCCCCGCGCCCGGCCTCCGCCCTCCGACCCGCCTCTCCCCCGGCCCCGGCGAGATGTGTCCCCGAGCTCTTGTGGAAGTTGGACGTTGGACGTTGGACGTTGGACGTTGAACGCTGGACGCTGGACGCTGGACAGGGAGCGCGCGGATACGCGGAACGAGACGAGGCGAGGAGCGCGCGCGCGCGGTGCATGGCGTGCGCGGGCGGGTGAGTGTGACCGAGGGCGCGGGAGGGCAGGAAGAGGAGGGGCCCTGCCGCACGGGGATGAGGATGAGGATGAGGATGAGGGTGAGGGTGATACGAGTCCGGGGCTGGCGCGGGGGGGCTGCTTTGGGCTTTTGACGACCGGGACAGGGAGAAGCGGCGGGGAAGCAGGACGGAGGGCTGGCGGCGTGTCTTTGCACTTGCACTAGTGATATGGAGGGAGTCTCGCCCCCGCCCCCGCGGGGAGGAGACGCGTGTGTGCGCTGGCGTGTGCTGTGTTGTGCGGGCCGCGGGAGGCAGAGAGCAGGGACCAGGGACCAGAGACGCGGCGTGGAGAGCGTGGCTAAGGAGCGCGAGGGTGCGTGAGATGGGGTGAGCGCGGCGGGATCGCACGCACGCACAGGCGTGGGGGCGGGCGGGTGCCGGAGGGGCTTGTGGGCAGACGCGCGGAGGGGCGGGGCAGGGCGGTTGCGTGCAGGCGGCGGGGTGCGCGCCGGGTGTGCAGGTCGGGATAGGATGGGGCGGGTAGCGGCGCGGGGGGGAGGGGATGTGGGTACGTCCGTGGGGGGACAGTTGGGCAGGAGGCGGGGCGGGGTGATGGGAGGAGTGCGTGCGCGGGTAGGCGGGCGGAGCGAGGGCGTAGGGGGAGCGAGTGGGAGCGTGGAGAGGACACTGGCGAGGAGAGAGCAACGGCACTGGGGCGTGCGATGGGGCGTGCTTGACGACAGCAGCGACGATCGCGCAAGGGCCGGCGCACGCTCTCACTCGACGACATCCCTGTCTGCGCAGGCCAGCCCCTCGCATGCATCGACACACGGCGACACACAGAGTCGCACGACCGCTGCCCTTGTGCTTTGTCCCGCGCACGCCGAGGCCAAGTCACTATGAATGCTCGCGGGCGGGCGCGAGCAGCATCATAGACGCCCATCGACCCGCTCGATCGATCGGCGCATGCGCAAATTTGCGTTGCGCCGCCAGTCCGTCGCCCGCCTGCGCCTGCGCACCCATCCTCCTCCTCCTCCTGCTCTCCGCCAACGCAAACCACCGCGCCCCGCACGACGCCAAGCTGGCGGACCACGACCGCGACCACGAGCCCGCCCTCGTCACGGGGGCACAGCACGCCGACGTGAGTGTCTGCGTCCGCGTCTGTCTGTCTCTGTCTGCCTTCTCTCCCCGTCTCCCGTCTTTGCGCGTGCCCGCGCCCGCGCTCTCCTCTCTCCCACATGACATGACATACGCTGATCTGCATCTGCGCTCCTGCTGACCGCGGACTGCTTCGTCCACAGCCCGCCCTCCTCCACGACGTCTCGGCCTTCCTCGTCCGCGAGGGCGCCCGCCCGCACAAACACAAAGACAACGGCAAAGACAAAGACAACGGCAACGGCAAAGGCAAAGGCAACGGCAACGGCAAGGGCAAAAGCAAAGACGCGAAGCAGACGGACCGCCCCGCCGTGCCCGCCCACACGCAGCCGCACGCCGCGGACAAGGACAAAGACAACGACAATGGCAGGCGCTCCTCGACACGCACCGCGCGCGCGCACGCAGACAAGCCCCCCGCACACGCGCCCGGGGGCGGCGCCAACGCAGGCGTGTCCGTGTCCGTGAACAGCAGAGACAAGGGCAAGGGCAAGGGCAAGAGCAAGGGCAACGACAATGACAAGAGCAACGACAACGACAAGGGCAAGAGCAAGAGCAACGACAAGGACAAGGACAACAGTAAGACCGCCGACACGCGCACCGCCGACAAACGCAAACGCGAACGCGAACGCAAACCCGCCGCCGACACACCCGCAGACCCCGCGCCGCCGCCCAACGAACCGCCCGCGCCCCCGTCCTCGCTCCTCGTCCCCCCGACCCCCGCATGGTACGCCGCCCTCCCGCCCCTCGCACCCGCACCCGCACCCGCACCCGCACCCTCCGCCCTCCCGACACCGACGCCGACGCCCGCACAGCTCGCCGCGCTCACCGCGCGCGCGTACGCGCTGCTCGACCGCGAGAGTGCGCGCTGGCACGGGCTGGACGCGGCCGGCGGCGGGGAGGGTAGCGGCACCGGTAACAACAACAACAACAACAGCACCGGCACCGGCAACAAAAACGAGAGCAAGTGGGACGCCGTCGGCGGCGGGAAGAGCACAGGCGCGGTCGGCGGCGGGAAGAGCGCGGCGGACCGCCGCTTCCTCGCGGCGGTGCTGCGCGCGGGCACGCTGAGCGACCGCCTGAGCGCGCTCACGCTGTGCGTGCGCGACGCGCCCGTGTATGAGCGCGCGGCGCTCGAGCGGCTGGCGGGCATGATGGCGCGCCGCGGCGGCGGGGGCGTGGGCGGAGGAGGAGGTACAGGAGGGGGCGGCGGCGGCGGGAGGGAGGAGGGCCTGAAGGCGGTGCGGTGCGTCGTGGACTGGTGGGTCGGCGGGGGCGCGCCTGGGCGGAAGCTGCGGTGCGTGTTGTGTCTGTCTGTCTGCGCGCGCGCGCGTTCTGTGCGCGAGGACCGAGGCCTGAGGGCTGAGGGTCGAGGGTTGAGGATGGGGAATTGCAGAACTGATACTGATGCTGATTGGGCGGCTGCGGCAGGTACCTGCGCGACCAGCCGCTGCTGCACGCGGGCGCGACGGACGCGCACCTGCTGCTGTGGGCGTTCGAGGACTGGCTCAAGAAGTGGTTCTTTGGCGTGCTGGGCGTGCTCGAGGTGCGTGACGCCGCCTGCGTGTGTGTGTGTGCGCGCGCGCTGTGCTGACGATGACCGCTGTCCGTTCATGAATACCCTGCTCTGTCCGCCCCGTCGTTGCGCTGCGATGTGCGATGTGCGACATGCGACATGCGACATGCGATATGACGACGACGACGACGACGCCGACAACAACACCCGACAACACCCGTGCGCCTCACCTCGCGCCTCGTGCCCCGCGCTGCGACCTGCCGCCGCCACCGCCGCAGACGTACTCCCTCGACCCGCTCCCGTACGTGCGCACGCAGACGCTCGGGTTCATCGCGACGCTCCTCCGCGAGCGCCCCGAGCAGGAGCAGAACCTGCTGCGGCTCCTCGTGCACAAACTGGTGAGTGGGCGGCGCGCCGCTCGTATCTGCGTCTCGCGGCTCGCGGCTCGTGTCTCGTATTTGCGTCTCTGGTGCATTGCACGCGCACGCGTCTGCGTCTCTGTTGCATTGCACGCGTCTCGTATCTCTGCTGCGTTGCACGCATTTCGTATCTACATCCCCCTCGTTCTCGTTCTCGTTCTCGTTCTCGCTCGCCGCGCTATGTCCGGGAGTCACACCGGGTGCAGTCCGGTGCCCGCTGCCCTGGCACTTTTGGGTACTCTGGCCATTTCGGGTGCCCTGGCCCTTTCGGGCACTCTGGCCCTTTCTAGCAGCCTGACACTTTCGGGCACACGCTGGCACCCTGGCCGATGTTACACCGTGACGAGGCTTGATTCATTGGTGTTTCCGGAGGCCCTCGAGCACTCCTATCTGCCGCTGCGTGGGGAAACGGGCGTGGGTTGTCTCGGCCAGCCTGCGTTGTTGGGTTTCGGGCCCGCAGGCTCGCTGGCCAGAACCTGCCCGAATAGCTGTGCCCCCTTCGCTGTCTGTGTGTGTTGTGTGGATGTGGATCCGGTTCGACGGGCACAGATGGCTGTGTCCCAGGCTGTCTGGGCTGGCCCATGGGAGTTTTGCGTCCGAGGGAGCTCCCAAGGTCTGCCGGGTCGCTCGTTCTTCCCTTCCTTCATTTCTTTCTTTCGTTCTTTCTTTTCATCTATCCTATCTTTCTTTTCTTCCCTGCTTTCTTTTTTCCCATGCACCTTGTCCCCACATGCTGACGCGGCGCCTCGCAGGGCGACACGGACAAGGCGATCTGCTCGCGCGCGAGCTACCACCTGCTGCAGCTGCTGCAGGCACACCCCGCGATGAAGGCGGTGATTGTGCGGGAGGTCCGCGCGCTCGTGTTCCGTCCCGGGGGCCCGGGCCCGGGGCCGCGCGACGCGGCTGGGGCTGGTGCTGGTGGGAGCGAGCCGCGCGGGCATGTCCACACGTACATCCGATTCGCGGACGAAGACGCGCAGGGCGATGGTGCGGGCGGAGAAGGGGCGGCCATGCGTCGGGCACGCGGCGCGGATGGGAACGCGCGGGGCAAGGGTGCCCCAGGCACGCGCGCGGGGGGGCCGGCGACGATGGCGCGGTGGAACGCGCACGCGTGGTACTACGCGGCGGTGACGCTCAACCAGGTCGTGCTGAGCCCCGCGGAGGCGGACCGCGCGGTGGCGCGGACGCTGGTGGGCGTGTACTTTGAGATGTTCGAGGAGGTGCTCGGCGCGAAGCGCCGCGGGGAGGTGAGCGAGGAAGCGGCTGGGAGCGGCGGAGAAGGCGGTGGCCATGGAGATGGGGAGGCGAAGGCGAAGGGCAAGAACGGGGGGAGGGAGAAGGGGGAGAGGAAGGGGAAGGGGAGGAGGCCGGCGGGCGCGAAGGAGGTGCGTGGGGCAGCCGGGTTTGCCGAGGTCGAGGATGCGACGTCGAGGCTGCTCGGTGCGGTCCTGACAGGCGTGAACAGGGCGTTGCCGTTCGCGAAGCTGGACGTTGCGGGGGATGAGACGTGAGTAGGCCGGTCTTTGTGTTGCGCCGAGGGTTCACGGCATGCGGTTCTGACCATGGTGCTGATTGCCCGCAGCTTCAAGGCGCACATCGACACGCTGTTCCTCATCACGCACACCTCGACGTTCAACATCTCGCTCCAGGCGCTGCTCCTCGTCCTCCAGATCACCACCTCTCTCTCCGCGCACCACCCATCGCAGCCGTCCACGTCCGCTGCGCCCGCGTCCTCCTTTGCGACGGCGCTCACAGACCGCTTCTACCGCACGCTCTATGCCTCGCTCGCTGACGCGCGGCTCGCCGAGTCCAACAAGCAGGCGATGTACCTCAACCTCCTGTTCAAGGCGCTCAAGGCAGACCGGAACGTCGAGCGGGTGGCGGCATTCGTGCGGCGGTTCGTGCAGGTGCTCGCGGTTGGCGTCGGTGGCGGCGGCGGCGCTGAGTTCGTCGCCGGCGGGCTGTACTTGCTCGGCGAGGTCTGTTGCGTGGTTTAGTGCTCTCTTCCTCGACACTCATGCTGACCTTCCTGTTGCCAATGCCAGCTTTTCCAGTCTATACCTGAGCTCAAGACCCTCCTGGGAGGCAAGGGCAAGCGGGGCGTCGTCCCGGTGGAAGGCGAGGACTACGATCCCCTCAAGCGGGACCCTCAGTACGCACACGCATCGGCGACGCCGATGTACGAGCTGGTGTGCACTTTCGCGGCTCCACAGTACATACTCGTACACCTCCGCTCACCTCCTGCCATTATAGATGCCCCTGCTCCACCACTACCACCCGACCGTGTCGCTGCACGCCCGCCAGCTGCTGAACTCTGAGCCGATCACCGCATCGCCCGACCTCGCGCTCAACACGCTCTCGCACTTCCTTGATCGTTTCGTGTACAAGAACCCGAAGAAGCCGCGCACGAGGGGGCCCAGCGCTATGCAGCCTGCTGCGAGCGCGCAGGACGGCGCAGGCGGGGTCAAGATGTCGCGAGGCGAGGTCGCCGACGACGGCCTGCGCGTGAACGAGGAGAACTGGTGGAAGAGGAAAGCAGAGGACGTGCCGGCCGACCAGGTGCGTCGTGTCGCCCGCCGTTGTCCGCTCAGCCTGCTCACACCTTGCAGGTGTTCTTCCACAGATACTTCACGAAGAAGAAAGAAAGGGAAGACGAAAAGGCCGCGAAGGTGGGGAAGCGGAGAGGCCGCGAGGATGAGTCGGACGAGTCGGACGGAGACGAGGGTGCTAGTGACGACGGCGAGCTGTCTGCATCGGATGTTGAGCCTTCCGCTGAAGTCGAAGACGATGTCGAAGGACCCGATAGCGACGTAGATGAGGCAGAGATCTGGGAGGCATGTCACATTTTCTTCTCCTTCTCCCTGAGAACTGAAATCACATCTCCGATTAGGCCATGAAAGCAACCATGCCTGCGGAACTGCAAGACGATGACCTGATGGAAGATAGCGAGGATGAGGACGATATCCCATCAGGGCTTGACGAGGACAGCGAGGACGAAAACATCAGTCTCTCTGACAAGGAGTCTGCCAACGAAGACGAACCAGAAGAGGAAGAGGACGATGGATCCGATGCATTCTCTTTGGTTGAAGGCTCAGATGCAGAAGACTTGTTGTCGCTCGATGCCGACGTCGACGTGCCTGGAGGCATAGGCCTCATCGAGTACGATGGCTCTGTCGCGTCCGACGACGCAGGCGAGTGGTCTGGATTCGGCGCCGAAGGAGATGCGCAAAGCAAAAAGGGCAAGCGGAAACGCGAGCAGGACGGCGCGAAAGACCGGAGGAAGAAGCTGAAGAGCTTACCGACATTCGCGAGCTACGAGGATTATGCACGCATGATCGAGGATGGCCCGGAGGATAACTTATAGGCGAACATCCTGATCGTATTCGTTCCTGTTAATGTCCGTTTCATGTTAATCACATTTCATTTTCACTGTTTGTCCAGTGTGTGGAAGCTACGGTGCTTGCTAACGACTCCTGAAGAATGCCTTGGCCTTCGCCGTGGGGTCTCGTTATCGCACGTCTGACTCTAACGATCAACCGACAGGCAGTAGACTAAACTCCTAGTCCACCAGTAAGCCCGCGAGCGCAACAGAACTGGAGCAAATGACGAGCGGTAACCAATCAAACAACAAATAGTATGACCTATAGTTGGAGCTTATTGACTGACTTTTCATTGCAGCAACCTCAGAAAAGCGGAAAGCCCGGCTGAGTATCGCAAGAGATATAAACATCTATTCGCATGATACACAGCTACAATATGCTCATGGTGTCCTTTTTGCCCCTTAGGTGTTCCAGGTCTGACGATCAATGAGTACTGCATAATCTCGATTTCGATCCCGATCATGCCCAAAGGAGCCATGAGGTTACCCCTCAAGGAAAATCTGTCGCCTCTTCAACGACATTTGCGACTCGCCACAGGTCAAATTGTAACATCCTCGATGGCGGTAGAAGTAGAAATGGTAGGCAAAAGCTTCACTCGTCACCACTCGAATTTTGATTAGCTGTTGTGTCCAGCCGCCCCAGAAACAAAGGCACTGTCAAATTAAGCGAAGCCAGGTGATGAATATAAGGTATCTTTGCACGATTCTATTCGGGAGCGGACTACCAAGCGGGTGAAGTATTCATGCTGGTCGAATAGTAAATCAAACGCACCGAATGATGTCTGTGAGAGGCTGACTGAGTGGCTGACTACCCATATGCCCGCCGCCAGCCTCCTGTTGTTCGCCGCATCAGCATCGCATATACGTAAGGATGCACTTCCTCCTCTGCTCTACAGAATCTTGGCCCAGAAATATGCCCAGGAAAATGCAGAAGATATTCAGCAAGGTCGCCGCGCGGATCAAGCGGGAGTGCAAGGCATGCGAGGGCTGCAGGCACAGGGACAGCAAGTCGAAACACTGCGAGGCACCACATGTGGACAAGAACGCCATCGGCACCCCAAAACCGCTCGCGGCTCGTAAGGACACGGACACCGCAGACATCTCGCGCAAGTCAGGTATTTCCGTCCTAGTCGCTGTCAAAAATGCGAATGGGGCGATCGGCGACATCAATGCAAAGACGGCACCGGCAGTTAGGGAGGCTCCTATGCAGCGCATTCCTAAGAGCTCTGTGCGCAGCACAGCGGCTAACCAACAGGAGTCCAAGCCCGTTGTCCATTCTGTCGCTGTGACGGGAGTGTCGCTTCGTACCAAGACTGCTCTCGCAAGAGCTCGCCCTGCCCATGGTGCACGCTCCGTCTCCAAGCCCGTCAAGAGCAAGAATGGCTCCATTGTCGCGGGCAACCCTCGCTTGTTAGAGCCCAAGTCAGACAGTCACCTCCGGGCGAACACCGCCAGTGGGTCGTCGAAGCATCGTGTCGGAAATAGCAAGGAAGAGCTCTCGAACAACGATCGGACAGGCGTGATTGAATGTAAGAACGTGGCCGCCTCAGCTCCTCGCCCGCTGCTCCTCACGAAAGGCTCGTCTATCCCCGTTCTTGCTCGGGCAAGAAAGAGCGGACAACCTCGCGGCATCCCGGGCCTAGTTCAGCCTGTTGATGAAGCTCAAGCATCTGTCGCGCCCGCAGAGGTCACCGCGCCGGACGAGGCAAAGCTTTTTTCAATGCGGGTGGTCGACGTCGAGGTGCAAGCTACAGGGGATGGTAAGCCCTTGGTCGCAGCAGATGCAGTCGTCAAGAAGACAGGCAAGGCGACCACAGCTTGCGCGCTGGTTGCGGTCAAGGAATCACAGCTCGCAGTCAAGCAGCGCGAGGGTCACGCACAAAATATCATCAAGACGCAGCGTATCGCGTGTGCAAAATCGGCCATAGACATTACTGTCAAGCGTCCTCGGCTCGAAGTACACACGCAAAGAGATAACAAAACGTGAGCCAGAGGTTGATATGATTGTAATTTGCACTGAACAAACCACAGCAAAATTAAAGGGAGAAGGGGAGTCGAGGAACACCTTTGTGGTCCACAGTTTAGTAACAATGAAGAGGATGCAACTGCAAACGCGCTCAACTTGAGCTCCGACAGGCAAGCTGTTTCACCTGTTGTCTAGAATACGATCTCATGGCGTTACAGCACACCGGATGAGAGTGCATTTGTAACGAGCGAGCGTGGCGGCTCACGTTCCGCTGCACCGTCGGAGGACCTCACGCTCGTTGGCCCCGAACTGTCTCTCGCAATTGCGATACACTCCGGTACGAAGACTGCCTTTCCGCGTGCGCCAAGCACCTCCGAGTGTGTGCGCAAAATCGTCGGCCTTATTCTATCCTTGTCTGTCATCAAGAGAACGGCGCCAGAGCCAATTCAGATCGCTAAGCCTTCTAAGCCTCACTTTGTCTTCCCCGCCCTCCCAGTCAATGCGGATGGTGTTCCCATTCTTACGGCGCGCATCCGCGAGGACATCGCGAAGATCGTGCAGATGGAGACGGACATCATCGAAAAGCGTCGTGCTGCGTTGAACCAACTCGAGCACTTCTTGATACAGCGCGAGAAGATTGGAGGAAGCGGCACCGACGAGTGGCAGGACCAGGAAGTCGGGGAGATCAACTCCCCGCGTTTATCTGGTTGTGAGCAGTTCTGGTCTAACAACCTGGACGCCGAGGAGCCTTGGCACACGTACATTGGCAACATTCTCTCGACGATTCGCCAAATTCCTACTCCCGCTGCCGATCCCGTCATGGTTCCAGCGTCAGCTTCCGTTCCTGCCCTTACCTCTGTTAAGCTTGTGTCTGTCCAAAAGGATACGGTACAACCTGCCCGGACGGAGGGTCTGGTCATCAGCGAGCCAGCGGTGAACTCTGCCCTGGTCGATGAGCTGGCTTCAGTGGATAATGACGAGGACGGCGACGACATGCACAAGCTGCTCTGCAACCTGAGCAAAGAGGCACAACAGAAGGCATTGACGCTGCAGAAAAAACTGAAGACAATGCGCGAGGAAGAGCGCAGCGGCCGGCAGGTTGAGCGCAAGGACGGTGGTGAGGGTATCGCACGTCAGCGCCTCCTGCCTTATAAGAAGGTCGGAGGGGACGATGCGCCTAGCGTCCACAACGCAGTGCAACACATACAGCTCCACCAATACGGAGCTCCCGCTGCCGATCCTTCCAATGTTGCACCAGGATTGACTATGTGCGGGTCTGCCAGTAGGGGTAAGGTCAGACAACTAGCGGTGGAAGCGGAGGTGAGGCCATTGCAGCCTTCCGCTGTGGATAAGAAGCGTGCGGTGTATGAGGCCTGGCTCACAAAGCGTGCATACGAGAAGCTCATCAAGGTGGACAAGCAACAGGCCTCTTCGATGCCGCGCAAACCCGAACAGAGGACCTTGGCGATTCCAGGGGCTTCCCATATTGCCGAGCGACTTTCCTCTTCAGAGCGCGAGCCTATACAGGTTCCGTCCATGCCGGGTACGAAGGCGACGAGCGCAGCTTGGACAATAAGCAACACGCCGACGCCTAGTGTACCTCCAACGCCTGTCAAGCAAACAATTCAGATTACCCCAATAAGTACTGCAACGCCCAGCGCGCCGAATGCCAACAGCGCGACTCCGGGCAAGGTGGTCGCGAGTCCGACGAAGCCACCCGTCCATAAGCCATGGGGTCCGTGTGTTGACCGAGCTCGCGCTGCGATGACAGCCAAAGAGAGCCTGCAAGCGGACGTGTCTGGAAAGCAGGAAGCTCGTAAGAAAGCCCCTGACGCTGATTCTTTCGCAACGCGAGGCCTACAGTTCCGAGCACCGTTGCGTCCAATCACAAACATCCTTGGAGCATCTGCGAACGATCAACGTCTCTTCTCTTGATGGCCGGAAGTACCTTTCTGCATCACAGGTGGTATCCCCCCACCTGTGGGGCAAAAGAGCGATTGTGATCCGCGAGAGGGGCGATTGGGGTTATTGTATGGATTCGAGTTCTAATCATTCTGGGTTTTGGGTTTTGGGTTTTGGGTTACTTTTCTTTCTATTCTCGTCGGTAAACAGCAGGGATTTGGTGGTTGCATGATTCTATTCTGTATCCTTATTCGACAAACAACGATAGCCATGCACCAGGTAAGTCATTGAGCTCGACGCATGTACACTCACTGACGACTCAATGATAGATCCTTCAAAAAATACAAGTAGACTCGAGTACTTCATGGCACCGCCATCGAGCTCTGCACCACCGTGAGCGATCTTCCTGCCGATGTACAGTCTCAATATTTATACCTGCTACTATCCCCTAGGTGCGATCACGATGGTCGTCGAGGGCTTGGGTTTTATTTGTCTATGCGTAGTAACAAATAAGAAGTACTATCTTATCATGAATGGCGAGCGCTGTTTGGTCAAGCAGCTGGAGTGCTCGCGGGGCGTTGATATGTGACGATGTCATGGACCGGATTAATGCTGCCCGCGCGTGACAGGATGGGCACGGGAATGTGACGCCACGCGTCTCGGTTAGCGTGGTATCCCCGTGCCTCACAGCGCAGCATCCCTTTGAAAAGTGGGCGCGTAGTGCCCGAACGGCAAATGTACGTCCTCAATGATGCGCCTCTGCGGGATGCATGGTGTGCGAAGCTTCGCAGTGAAAAACTACAGAGCTTGCAATGACTAGACGTGTCGATGGAAAGTTAACCCCCTCCAGATGATCTATTCAAACACGGAGAGCGACTCTCTTGGCCACACCATAATAGACCGGAATTTGATTGCTTGTAATGATCAGCTCCAGGGAACCCTTCCTAAGTTCTGTCTGCATCACTTCTAGCTCCGGACAAATGAAGTCTCGATAGCTCGAGCGTGCGATAATATGTCCAACCAGGTCCACTTGTGGGAGTACAGCAATTGAGGCCTTGGGTAAATGTAACCAACTTAAGTGGACTTTCCCTGCTTTCGCAATCGTCCATAAGGAAAGGCGTGAATGGACTGGTAGCCAGATTGGTCGAGAATGGCTTTCACTGATGGTGGTGCTAATTGCGACATGCGAAGTCCAAGTTTGCTTCAACCGTGGGTACAGCGAACGTCTTCGTATCTTCATGAGAACTGCGGAAGGACCATAATGTATAGTTATGGGTAATGCTATCCTCGAGCCTTCACGATAATCAATTTCGACGTCTATACAAGTGGAAGGACTTTGTCTGCTGCCGTTACAGTCAACTCCGACGTGACAGGCTCCACCGCGACAAAGTTGATCTCGTTTCCCTCTGTCACAAGCACGAAGCGCTGCAAATAAGTGCTGTGGTCAGCTACGCTGCGCGAATGGTGCATACTATCAATCTACCTTTGAGCGTGGTGCTCCCAAGCGCTCGGTGGCATCCCATAGCATACCAAGAGCTCCGACGAAAGACCCTCTGTCGTCAGCAATAAAACGGACAGCTTAGGTAACGTAAATTGAGGCCGCGTCAATATATCGAATTTCCTTAGAGACAATAGTGTTCACTCACGCGTGCCTCCGCTGGCTAGATTCTCCTTCCATGCCCTGCAAGGAACGCACGCCGATTAGCGCGAGCCTGACAAACCAGCATGTGTGCGCACTTCATGACAAAGACATCGTTTACCGCGACCACGTAGATGTCGTTGACACCCTTCGCCTTGAACTGATCATACCGCTCGATGTATCCTGGAATCTGGCGGCTGCACGTCCCCGTGAACGCTCCTGGCACCCCGACCTGAATGCTTTAACATTTTGCTCCGTATACAATGGGAACCCTCAGACTCACAAAGATGTTCTTCCCCGTGATCCCGTCGAACGTGAACGTCTTCACCGCCTCGTTTTCCTTCACAGGCACCGCAGTGGCAATGGTGGAGCCGACCTTCACCTCAGCGGCGGCCATCAGAGATACAGCGGCAGAGTGGGCAACCTTTGTCGCGCTCGAGAGGAGAGATGCCATGATGATGATTGCACTGGGAGAAGGAAGGAAAGTACAGGGCGAGACGCGTCCGACTCTGATATATATACCCGGGCTCCCACTGCTGGCGTCCTCCGCGTGACGTCATGACATGTCACACTCCAGTCATGTCTGCAGGACGAGCGTCACGACCGAGAAATGTTCTGGTACGCCAGGCTCGCGGACTCGTATTCTGGGATGAATATCCGCGACTGCTCCTTTTCCATGTACCTGCTTAGCATTTAGAATGCGATAACGCTACAATGTAAAACGAACGCTTACGCCATAAGTTCGTTTGCATAGTCCCTCACGAGTCCTACTGACTCGGAGTCCATGCTTGAGCTCGCCACCATCTGCGGGAGACTCACTGTCGTTAGGGAGTCATCGTGAGCGCAAGACATCAACAAGAACGACAGAACATGTACCAAGCATTCGCAGAAGGTGTTCAGCGCCGTATATTGAGCTCATTTCTTTTTCTTGGCCAACGATGACTGTAGGGCCCGTGACATATTTCTTGCGAATCTCTGCGTATTGCGGTCGTTCGAATCGGTATAGCAGGTTTGCCCCAAGTGCACGGTCAAAATATGTTTGTAAGCCTGCTATGATGGTCGGAAGCAGGATCGCAGGGTCTTTCAGGCTGTGATGTGTGAGCGACAAAGCCACAAACAGATGTCGTTAGGGGGTTGTACTAACTGTGGTGGCTGCTCCTTCGTAACGTAGTTCTTGTACTCCTCGAGTATCTGTATGACACTAGGCGTACGAGGAAGGCTGACTAGCTGAGCACACTTGTATGAGCCGGATGCAGAATGCCAGCCAAAGGGAGGGGATCACACCTGGTTGTTCTTCGTCACCGCCTCCCAGTCATCGACGAGTAGCACCTTGAGTGACTCCGGCACGGACAGCTTCATCTCCGGCCGCTTGCTGTGGTCATCCTACAGGCTGTGTTGTCAGCGACCAGAGCGAGACAGACGAGCGCACGACGGACCTCCTCTCGTCCCCGCTTCGTCCCTCTCCCGCCGTCCTTCCTGCCAACCCTCGTCGCGTCCTTCATGGACGATGTCTTAGTCGCGCCCTTCGCCGCCGCAGCGGAAGATGCGCCCTGGGAGGCGGATGCCTGGCTCTGCAACGCTTTCTGCAGCGCAACGTTCGTCTCGTTGTACTTCAGGAGACGGCTAGGTTGCACCCACTCGTCCCATCTGTACAGTCCGCCCAGTGCCATTTCACACAAGGGTCAGTTGAGCGAGTTTCGGAGAGAGGCTGGGAGACATACGTTTGCTTCCACCCCTTGTAATGCACAAAGAAGTGCGGGCCCACAGAGCCAAGCTTGGTCGTAGTCTCGTCCCAGTGCTCGTACTTGATTATCTTCGCCTCGTATATGAGGGGCCCGTGGTAACACAGGACTTTTTCTCCGACGTTATACACACCGGTGGACATGGCTACTTGAAGTTTACACTTACGCCTACAACCGATGCACTGAGGAGCGGGGCAAGACGCCGACCGAGCGCAGTTCGTTTCGCCTCAAGGCTTCCTACTGCAAATAGACGCTGCTGACGATTTTGAGTACACAAAGTAATAAGTACATCCATCCATCCTATAAGTGTAGAGCTACTCAGAACCCTATATAGAATACAGGAATAAACAGAGAGCAGCGACATAAGACTACGCATAGATAGCATATAGAACCTATATAGCCATAGCGTGCATGACATAAAACATAAATCGACCTGATATATAGTGGTGGTGGTGGCTTAGGGGATGGTGCCACGGGACGTTGTCCCTTAGGGGAACTGCATGCACGAAACAAATGAGGGCAGGAGGCCGGGCGTTGCACCGAAAGTGCAAACCCGCGCCCCGCGCGGGGTTACAAGGTTTCCCTCGTACCAGCAGCGGGGCAGTGGCAGGCTGTCAAAATATCATCAACAACAATGACAATTTTGCCCCGGTAGTGAACCGACTCACCGCTATAAAAATACATAAAATACAGGCGCGCTCTGCCCTACCTGCCCTGCGTTGTCAAATGGACACCAGGAGCCTGCCCAGAGCTCTGTCCAGCAAGAAAACCTGAGCTTGGGAAGTCCGGAGTACTGAGGTCGTGCGAGCAACATCGCTCCGCATGGCATGCGTATCGAGTCTTCGAAACATAACACCCGCGGAACGATGGTCGCCGTATGCATGATGTATGAGCCCGCTTGAATCGACGTCAGTATGTCGCAGCATGGATAAGATAGCTGTACTCACCCCTGCGCATGACATATTACCCCGCCACAGCCCCACTATGATCGCCGAGCCGCCGCTGCCGCACTACATGCGTGGCAGGACCGGCACCCACGCCTCCTTTTCGTCTCAGTAGGCTTGGGCACTGACCAGTCGAACTCGCCGTCATACTCGATGCGATGGCGCTCGGCCAGTCCCCGGAATAACGCGCGAAGACCGTCGTAGTCGGGAAGGTCTTCAAAGGCCAGACTGCGCGCGTACTTATAGAAGACGTCAAACTCAGTAGGCAGGCCGACGGTGAGGAACTCCTCGGTCTCCAGTTTTTTGTCGCGGATGAGACCCCACGTCTCTTCCGTGGTTTGGGCCTTGATCTTCCGCCAGGGGAGCGTGCCGCGGAGGAAGTAGATAAGCATGTAAGCGAGCGATTCGAGGTCGTCGCGTCGCGAGCATTCTGCACCCGCCATTAGTCACAAAACTCGTGACAGGAGGTGACGACATACCAATACCAAGATGAGTATTGATCGAGGCAAAGAGGCAGGTGCCGACGCCATGGTGTTCGTCCTGGTTGTACGGGATGTGCATATTCGTACGGGGATCGCGATACTTCTTTGCGAGGCCGAAATCAATGATGTTGACGAGATGTGACGCGTCCATATCAGATTTTGGGATTACGAAATTGGCCGGTTTGACGTCACGGTGAACGAGATCGCGTGAATGAATGTACTCGATACGAGAGATCTGTGACGCGTTGGGACGGATTGAGCAACGTGAAGAACAGACAGAAGGCGGAACACGGGATGAAACACGTCGCTAAGGGCGATATCGTGCGTGGGCGCGGCCCATGCCAAATATGGTCTGTGGCGTCCAACTCGCCAGGCGTTGCGCACGTCGACGCGTCGCTGGCGACATAGAAACAGTTGCTTAAGAAAGGGACACTCACAAGTTGGTCAGCCAGAAGTAGAATGGTCTTGAGAGAAAAGTGTCTGTTACACATCTTGAAAAGGTCTTCGAGAGAGGGACCGAGGAGATCAATGACCATGACGTTGAAAGGCCCATGCTTGCCCGACCACATAATCCATGGTACGCCAGGGGCTCCAGAAAGCGATTTGTATATTTTGGACTCTTGCTTGAGGGGACTCGACTTCGCCATTGCGGGTTCAAGCTTGATGGCCACCTCCTTACCGGCAACAGTGTGTACGCCGAGGAATACGCTGCCTACAAGCGTGATACGCGCGTTAGACCCTCCCTAGGTATTGCAATACATTGGAAACCCCCGGAAATACATACCGCATCCTCCCTTGGCTATGACATCTTCGAGTCTGTATTTCCCGCCGAAGGTTAGGTCCATGTCGTTTAGCGAGTGTCGGAGTCAGAAGGAACAACAGAAAAACGTGGAGAAAGGTGTGTTTACGTCCGGAGGACTCGCGACTGCGGCGCGCAACGTGAGGGAATCGTGTACGTCGTGAGGCCGATGGTGCTCGTGCAAGTCGAACGTCGAACGCCAGCCCAGCGAACTGGTGACAGGGCGTTCCGCGTCGCGTCTATTACATAATCATCAACCTTCAGCCACATCGGACATACCCGGCCGGCCCGGGTCAGTATTCGGTCTCACTCATATCCTGAGCTCAGCACTTGAGCTACTAGTAGAGTCTGGACTGCTATGGCCTGGAACTTGTCGACATCCTGAACGCCCATATCATTTGATCTACCGCGACTCATTTCCACCCGATCGCACTGGCTGTCGCAAACCCCGTCTGGTGTACAGTTCAGCTGCAGACCTGCCGTGGTTGCGCGTGTCCCGCAGTCACAACATGCCCAATAAGTGGACTTTTGCATCGGAGGCAAATATGGTCTCGAACCTGTGGTCAGCACCCCGATTGATAAGTCCTATTTGCGGTTCACCCCTTACGCTGAGAAATCTTCCGGACATGAGGCAGACTCATGGAAGCTGTCAAAGACCGCCCAGCACGGTCCGAGACTTGCTCCTGAAAGAACAGGAGTCATATGCACGAGCGATATTGACACAAAGCACCAATGGGGTATGGCAATCAGTCCTTTCGACGCATACAGAGCGGATGCATGAAGCTCTCACATATCTCCGAATGAATGGTGAGGACCACACGTTTCAGTCCCTCTGGAACGCACCATCAACTTCCCTCACCTGTATGATTATCAACGTGCAACCACGAGCCATGCTTACCAAAACATCGAGCTACACACGAGAGCTAGTAACACAATGCATCCCGCTAATCCAATGCACAGCCCAGGCATCGCATCGCTTGAAAAAATCAATGGTAAACACTTACAACCGTTGTACAGATTTCGGCGCAACAGTGCCTCAGCGATGAAGAACTTCATTGAGCACTAGCACAACATACACGACTAAAGCACCCGTCAATGACAAGAAAGAACATGCGAAAGCAGTCGAGATGATTATATGGGCTTGATTTTGAAGTGGAGAGAGATGAGGGAGAAGATGAGACACTGGCAATGCAAGCGCGTCAATGGATAGTAACAACTTGGACACACAATGGACGCACCTTCAGGTCCTGGACAAGATAGTAGAATACACGAAGACCCTCTGGATCCTCACTGTCCTGGATGTCGACTAAAGAGCCGATTTTTGCTGTCTGTCGCAGATTCAACACCCGTGTGAGAACTTAACAAGGTTCTAGAGCCTACCTCGAACGCGATGTGGTCGTTGCCAACACGGATTTCGAGCTCTTGCTTCCCTACAATGTTCTTCTTGGGCCAGTTGGTGTCGTCTTCCCTGCAGACGTGCAACAATTGTGTTCAAGTACTGAACATACACGTATTGAAGGATGAATACTTACTTGGTGATCTCGCTCGACTCAACGATGCGCTTGAGCTCCTTCACAACAAGTGGGCCGACCCACACTGGGACGCGTCAGGTGGTTGGGAAAACGCGGGAGGCACGCGAACGACTTACTCTCTTTACGAATCAGGCTGTCATTGCGGTAGTTCGAGTTGTTCGCGTATCGGAGACGTCCATGCGAGTACTCGAACTCGAGGAACTCGTGTCCGTGCTTGCCTGAGTGGCCGGTGCTGAAGAACTATGAGAAGAAGTTATGAAAGAGCGGGGTAAAAACCTACTAGTATCTGAGAGTGTGGGCGTGAGCATCTAACGTGCGCACGCCCTAGCGCTTTTTTGATCGCACCTAAGGTAGAAGGGGTCGTTCTCATGAGAAGACATGGCAAGTCAGTGGTGGTTGCGGGAGGAACGAGCTTGACGCCGCTGGTGAGGAGGGCTGCTGAGTCAGCAGGCGCCAATTTAAGTTGGGATCAATAGATGCCTTTATTGGACCACAACCCAAAACGCACCGGAACTGAAACCTACTCTCAGCCCCGAGAACATAGTTAAGAACATGCCTATAACGAGGACAGCGTCGGAAGGCTATACTAGTCCTTAGCTCAAATTCCGGAGAACAACATGTTTACTGGCTTCTGAGCTCGCACAGCTCTTTCGCTCATAGCAGATACATCGCGATGCCCAGTGGCATTACATAAGGCTGGTACGTGGAAGCGCATTTGCGGTGACTGAGATTCGACGGGGACAGAGATCACTACCCAAGTACGGTACTAGTGGAGTTTGCTATTGGCGCTGTGTGACCGTTTAATCCAAGCACATATTAAGGTGGGAGGAATGTGACCTGTATCAGGTATCTATCAACCTCCGGTCAGATTCATTCTGTCAGAAAGCCATTTGCGACGTGAGAGCATTTTATTTGCGTGCTCACAGTCTTTCAATACCATAGTGCCGCTGTCACAGCAATCAACTTGAAGACGGAGCAGCCACACCTCATGATGTAGGAACTGGGTTAGTGAGTCGCAGTTGCGCCAAATGTCATGGTCGCCGCAGTAGAAGTACGCTGCGCATGTGCTACACTGGTCGTGGATAGGTAATAACAGCCTTCGGGCATCTCAGTCAACACGTATAACTAGGTGTTCGTTCTCAATCACTTCACTGCAATCTCCCTCGCATCCCACTCTGTGATCATTGGTCTTTCCGCGAGCACATCGCAATGTCTGAGGGACCTCTGTCTGGACCAGAGCTCCAATCTTCTCTTGAAGCAATGTCAGCATTTGTAATTTAATCCCGCCCACTGTGACGATCTAACGTCCATTTATCGCCTCGGTAAAGCTCCAACGGCAATTGTGCCATCTGCGCATGCGCCAGTACGTCAAATAATTTTTATTGTTTTGTCAAGCATTAGCAGACACTGATTAGTTGCTTCCTCAGCACTCATCATCTGGGATAGTCTCATAACGTTCCCTGATGAGTTACACCTCATGCGGTCCTGTCGAGCCTTCTCCACGCTCCTTTCCATCGTGAATAGACTTGCCTTGTTAGGACTTGCCATCCTATATGTGTGTATCCTGTTGTTATCTCCACCAGTAGGTCGTCTTCGCGGGATCGCCCAACAATGTCTAAATCTCCTATATTGCAGAGGTCATGATCGCATAGTGCTTTGTTCTTTCATCGCCTCATATTCTTGTGTAGTTGCATAGGTGTATCATATGCCACATCAGCAATGGGCCTTGTGGTGACCAGTCTATCAGTAGGTAAAAGCATAGACTCTCGAGTCGCCATTCATGCATTTATTGTCTGAGTTTTTAGCCGTCTTAGCTCTTCGTACGCATGCTGTGAGCAGTGCAAACTGGTACCTAGTACTGCCGGTGTTGCTGTTGGGGCTGGTACCCGTCGGGACTAACTTGGTATGGGTATTCCTTTAATTTCCAGCGATCATTGTCTGAACCAAGTGTCAAGTATACCATCGTGGCATTTCCTAGAATTTGGATGCCCCAATTGCAACAGTGTATACAGAGTGTCACAATTAGCTCCGAGAAGAATGAAGCGTGAGTCTTTTCCGGTTATGTTCACATGCAGACGCTCCCTGATAAATGACTATGTCTCAGACGTGAGCCGTCATTGAAGCACCCTACGCCGCATTCATTGACTCACATCTCCTGCAAGTTTTGATAGCTACCAGGATCTCCGTTGTGTTTTCCGACATACTGGTCGTTGGTGCGACCTGGTACTACTTGCTGATACATCGCCCAGCAGCCTTGGCTCACACACAACTGTTCTCCATGGTTCTGGTTTCAAAGCCTCACTTGCCGACATTGGTGCTTCGCGATGGTGAGTCGAGCCGTGTTGATATCGCAGTATAGTCTGATTAAACAAAGCCGCTATTCATAGGCACGCTGTATTTCTTGTCAGGAGCTCTTTCGACCATACGAATGTCACTAATTATACGTGATTTGAAGGGCTATCTCGCTTCTGAATGTATATCTCTTGGTATGGAGCCAGAGTGCCCTAGTTAGTGACGAATCCTCCGGCAGACAGTAACGATCTCACAATTTTGTCAGAGGGTAGATGGCATCACGTCTCTCATCAATGTGTTCGTGTTTCCACCTTTCTCATGCTCGGCATGCACTGACCCTACTGCCACAGGTTATCATCCATACTCGCTGGACGGTTCCTCCTCCACATCCGTTCAGCCGCCAGTCGGCGCAATGCATCCAGCGGCAGCCAGTATAGTGATAGTCAGTCAGCTGCCGACACCGCCAGTCTAGAGACACGCTCCTGGATCTCCAGTGTGGAATTCATTGTGGACATTGGAGACGACAACGACCAAACATGCAACGCTGACCTTTTTTCTGATGACGAAGATGCCAATGTGCAGGAGCAAGACGAGGAGCCTGTTGCCATGTCGGTAACGCAATGCTAAGTCGGCCATGAATTGACTGGCTTCTACGTTGTGTCGTCGACTAAGGTAAATCTTTCGCCTTTCGCATTCATCGCTCGCGCTGAGTGAGCACATTGTGCAATAGACTTATGGTTCAGGGATATTGGGCATTCTTGTAGTGTAGATTTGGATCACGACGAGAGTGGGCTGGAGCTGGATTCATGTCGACGGCGAATTGGACGGAAGCAGTTCAGAGTGTGGGCTGCAGAGGAGCAGCGTCATCTCCGTGGCACAGGAAGCTCTCGCTCTAGCAGCGGCGCAACGTCTCATGATCGTTGTCGGATACCACGGACTCCGAGTATCTGAGTACAAATCCATCAGCAAGCTCTCGCAAGTCGTATATATATGTCGTGCAACAAACCTTCGCGGGGCATATTCTGTGATACTCTCCCCTTGTTTGGGTACTCGGAGTATGCAGACGCTGGATCCGGCTTGTCGTTCTTAGCTTCCCGAGATCTGGGGAATGAAGGACAGTAACTGCAACATGTTGCGTCTAATAACGCAGACCTAGATGCTCACTGAGAACCTCCTTTACCGTATCGCGCGCAGGTGATCGTCGCATTTGTCTGACTGACGTGCATTGGTACAGGAGGCCATGTCATGTCCGATAAAAGATACTCTGACGGATCAGGTTATGCAGAGAAGCGAAATGAATTCTGTTAATTACCCTGCACTAGAGAGCAGGACGTATAATCCTAAGATTTTTCTTTTTCTTGCATAATCCACATTTCAGTTGTTGATGGTCGGCAGGCTTGGAGCATGTCGTGTAGACGTGCCCAGTCTGCTTAGTGTTTTGTGCATTTGATTGTCTGGTTTAAGCCAGGGTGTAAGGACGGAAGCTATTTGGTTTCCGCACTGTTCAGTATGTGCACAATGCGGACATGCCATTCGTAGATACCCGAGAGGCTTCAGACATTCCCAGTGGCCATACTCGTTTTCTGTACAATTCTTGCAGGTCCATATTGACACAATGGAATAATGATCCTCGCATTATTATCCTTATGGCAAAGAACTCACATTGTGTTTGGTGGGTGCACTCATTACCTACACCGCACTCTTCTCGAAAGCCCACCTCCCTAGGTAAGTGGAAGGCGCGCATTGACACGTACCGCGCGTTTATTGAGAGATATTTATCTGTAGTGTACATGCCGTTGGATGTACGATCATTACATATCAAGGCACATAGTACAGTTACACTTTTTGGAAAAGCTCGTGAGACATTGCCATCTGAGTCGTAAATTATAGATACCTGCAGAGAAATCGAGTAAGCCCACTGTTATAGATGTTCATATCAGACCGCGTCCTCATTTGGTGGGCGCAGAGAGTGAGCAAACGGTAGCGCCGAGCACTGGCCACACACGGACCACGTGATCCGATTGTCGCGTCGCGCCTTTAACTGCGGCAACGTCCGGAGTGTGGCACTGGCTGCAGCATTCAACGCACTGACCTCTACCTTCCTATTCTCTTCAATCGCCAACGCCACCCCCACCAAAGCACCAATTACAACAAACACACACAGCACCCCTATCTCACAATGGACACCCCCGATCGCGAACAAACCATGAACAAATGCATCGCGTTCGTTAGAAACTACCTGACAATGAGGTACGGCGCCACCTTCGCCGACGAGCTGCTCAACGATCTCACATTGTCCACTGGATCCAGCCAGCACGATCGTCAGATCAGACACGGAGAGCGGGTCTTCGAATCGGACCCGCGATCCACGCCTCGCGACGCTTCAACCGGCACAAAACGCCATAGGGTAGCGGACATCATCAGCATACACCAGGATGTGCACGATGATGTTCACTCTGCAGTGCGGCAACGGCGCGAGGTCGTGGTAAGTAGCCACGCCTCGGACTGTCCGCCTTTCTGATATCTGAGCCTTCCTCGCCAACGACTTTTGTGCCTGCCACACAATGCAGGATCCCGCCACGACGCCACGACTCGCACAGAAGTTCGGACATCGCCGCAAGACACCACTCCTCTTTGTGAGGAAGCAGAAGGCTCCTAAGCGGCGGATGTCCCAACAATGTATGCGATGTGGCGTCACATGCTTCAAAAGCTTGAGGCCCACCCCGGAAGACACGCTGCCTTGGCGCGAACAACTGGTAAATCGCCAAACACTCACCCCCTGCCACAATAGGCTGACCTGGGTCCAACAGACCGCCGCACAAGCACAGGCTGTCCTTCAGAATGTGGCGACATGGATGCCGCCACAATCCCATAGCTACCAGCAGCCTCTTGAAGACCGAATGAACATTCCCGATGCCATGTTCATATCGGAAAGGGACGAAGAGATGGCAGATAACTTCGCCCCAGATGCAAGCTCATCTGTCCACTATACCCCGGCCATGAGCGCCGACTACTATGCTCAGCGCACGCCCGAGCCCTTCCCCATGCTAGACGTGAGTTTTTGCCACCTAGCTGAGATATGAGTCTCAAACTCACATGCATATTCGCACGCGTAATGTCTCTAGGTCCACCAGTCAACAGTCGCGAGCATCAGCATGGTTCAGGTCCCGCAAGTAGCCATCGCGGCCGAACCCGTCGACCTCCTGATGCATGAAGCGGCGACTGTCGATCTAACGCAGGAAAGCGCATTCGACCTGTCATCGATCAATGGGCTTGACGTCCAGATGCCCGCCTTGTCATCGGCACTGACTCTTGCGATCGAAGACGACCATGCGATGGAGGAGCCGACTGGACATGAGATTGCCGATGAACTAGAAAATGCCAGTGAAATGGCGCTCGGAGAGACAATGAGAGACAGCGAGGACGAAGAACAGGCCAACGTCGACATCAGCGCAGCCAGCGCCGATGTACGCGCTGATGTACCGATAATAGAATATGTACGAGAGGAGGATGTCCAAGACATAATCCTCAAAGCCATCGAAGATGGTAAACGCATCCAGGACGCCCTACGCACCTACCTTGCCCCCTCCGTCGACGAGATCGACGACCAGTTGGACGTCGGGCTGCCGCCCCTCGGGTTCACTGATCTGGGGCTTATGCCCATGGTTATGCCCTTTGAACTTGACGACTACGAGGACATCTTGGCACCACCACCCACGTACGCGCCAGGTGTATCGGCTCTCGTGGACAGGTCGAAGCCACTCAAGACAAGGGCATCCAGGTTCGCCAATACGCCATACCAGACACGTTCGATCGCACATGCATCACAGTCGGTGTCGATCGCATCTACATCATTGGACACCGAGACGGGCGAGTCAGGCCCTTCGTCGGCATCCTTCAATGCCTGGGGCGACAGGAACGAGGGATGGCTGGGGGGCGCTAGCACACAGCTAGAGGCGGCACAGGGGAGCGAGGAGCGACGGGCAGCTAGGGCGCAGGAACTAGCAGAGCAGCAGAAGGCTAGGAAGTTCGCCAACCTTAGAGGTCGGAAGACGGCATGGGAAGTGATAGAGGATGCTGATAGGCAGGATGCTGAGCGACGGGAGGCTGAGCGACGGGAGGCTGAGACGGCGATGCGCGCAATGGAGCAACCGTCCGTGGAACTGCACAGGCCCACGTCCTCAGAGGCCTCACATAGCAAAGCCCCGAGGTCACTTCCATCCGTCCCTGACCCCAGGTATGTCCCGAAACTGTGTCTGTGTGTTTTTTGTTATTCATCCACATACCTTCACAGTGCCATGACAGCCGAGGAGATGGCCCACCAGACGCCAGACGACCTAGATGATGGCGCAGCCAGCGGGCCCTCGGTGGACGACCTGTGCAGCCAGTTCGAAAAGCTGTAGTCATCCGCGAGTCGTCTTTCCAGCACGACCACTAAGTCTGCTCTTGGCGCAAATCCCGCATGGATGCAACTCACCTAGGGTACTGTGCGCTCTCCTCAGCTCGATAACGACTGCCGGCGTGATGGGAACCTTGATAAGTATGCGGAGGTCAATGTCGGCTGTTGTGTTGCACGCGAACCTCGCCTGCAGTCCTGGCCACATCGTTCGGCAACATCCGGACATCATCGACATCCGCCACCTCGATATCAAATATTCGAGGTTATGATCCGTCCCATCCTAATTCCGCTATCCTCAAACGTCTTGCTCAACGCCCACCACATTCGCAACTGACTGCTACCATTGTCCATCGAGCAAGCACTTCTGGGCTTTAGTACTACGTCGTCTGATGATACCCATTGGTACGTCCCTCCAAAATGCTCAGGCACCATTTCTGATAATGACCGCTGCCTACAGATATACCCCATTCAGACTTATCGCTCAGTGCTTGCTGCGGCAAAGACTCCTCGATTGAAGCCCATCGATGATACCCTTCCGGTACGTTGATCCGCCACAGCTTGTGGCCACGCTTTCTGACCGTGAATACTACTCACAGATACCACCCTTGAATATTTTGATTCAATTCATGCAGCTGTGGCACGCAGCGCCTGCTCGCCCACTTCCATTTTGTGGGGAGCTTCGATTCGATAGCCCCACTCTTTCATATTCATATATTTCCTCTCGATCACGAGGAACAAAGCCAGTCCATTGCGAGGAGATACACTTTGCGTGAGCCAATAACCAGACTGCATTCGGACTGTGCGATTTCAAGCGTGCCGCGAACCATTTGCCATCGCGGATTTGAAAGAGTTGAGCCGTGATATGAACATTTGCGGCGCACAACGGCGCACAAATGATATTAATGATGCGGTGCAGTGAACTCTGAATCACGGCGTGCAGGTGCATCTCACAAATTAGCCACTGCAAGACATTTTGGCAAGACAATACATTATAATGACAGCATTTCCACACCCGAAGAGCACACACTACCTGAAAATCTACTGTGCAAATTCGAACATCAACGTCCACAGGAAGCGGAAGCTCGCATGCCAGGAGCATAAAGCACGCGACCTATGATCTCTTCTTCTTTGATGGGCGAGCATCCGTGCCTCCGGGTGACTTCCTGGCCTGTTTGTTCTGGATCCGGAGTAGTGCACGCTTGTATTCCGTGTCGGGGAACGTCCCCAGATTGAAGTAGAGTGGGGCCAATTCTAGCAACCTATTCCATTCCATGCATTGATCAATCTGAAACCACTCGCAGGACATGAAGCACATACCACTCGGGACGGACATCTGTTACGGTCCGGATGTATGGCTTCGTGGTCAGGACAAACTCGTTGAAGATAACCCACTCTGGTTGGTTGTCCAGGCCGCACGACGGGTGCAGCGAGACAACCTGATTGTCCTTCACCGTCAAATATCCGCCCTTGTCGCCTTCCTTGTGCGCTACCTGCATGAAGTACCCGCAGACCAGCGCCCTCCGCACATTCAGGTACAGCTTGCGCTCGTCTTGCGTCGACACAAGGTCGATGTCGAAACGCTCCATTGTCCGTTGCAGCTGCGACCGCACATTGTCGGCCTGCGCTAGCGCACGTTGTGACAGGAAGTTGTTCCACGGCCAGTTACGGTCATGCTGATCTAGAGTGTATAAATGTCAATGAGCCGCACAGTTGGCCCAGACCTACACGTACTTTGTTTATAGTTGTTGTAGACGTTCAGTAGCGTCAAGTGATCGCCATCAGGCACTGTCAATAATGCTTTCGCCTGATCCGCTTCCTTGCGCGCGTTCGCCGGCCGAAGCCATACGTTCGGCACTGCAACAAGTGAGTTATATGATCAAAATACGACAATGAGCGCGCAGACTCCCACCTGACAACATCGCCACGATAGTGAGAATTTCATTACTACAGTTAAACTCTGGGCTAACGATGAGCATTTTAGCCATCTATAGAATGGCGAGTTTCAGCAGGGCTGGGCATCTGAGAAACAACGGGACGGGCGAACCTGAGGATCAAGTGGGAAATCGGCCATGATGGACCCCAGAGGGGTTAGGTGACCATCGTCGTCCAGAGCAGCGAGGTAGTTGAGCAGCTCTAACGCTCGCATAAGCGTTTCTGGTGCTGGTGCATCTACGTAGTCGAACTTCACAAGATCCTATGCTCGCCAATTAGAAATTAATGCTTAAATAGAGTACACGCGATAGCTTACATGAACGCCCAGCTTCACCAACTCTAGCACGGTATTTGCCAGGTTACTCCTCAGGATTTCTGGGTGCGTCTGCTCCTCAAGCTCCTTCATGAAGTCCTTCTCGGTATACAGCCGGAAGCACTTCCCGGGCCGTGTCCGCCCGGCTCGGCCTGCTCGCTGCTGTGCGGAGGCCTTCGAAATAGGGCTCACAAGCAACGACTCAACACGTATGCGCGGGTTGTAGACATTCTGTTTAGAGAAGCCCGGGTCCACGACGTACACAATACCGTCGATCGTGAGCGAGGTCTCGGCAATGTTTGTGGACACGACAACCTTCCGACCTGGCGGACCATCTGGGGTACGCGGGGATGGCGCAGGGTCGAATATGCGCTGCTGCTGCTGCGGGGGAAGCGACGAGTACAGTGGTATACAGACCAGTGGGCCAACACTATCCGGGTCCTGGTTCAGCAGATCGTCTGCCTCCAATTTGATCTTCCTACATGAATCCTCGATCTCCTCCTCACCCGTCAAGAAGAGTAGGATATCGCCTGGCTCCTCCGCACGATGGATCATCAGTACAGTGCGGATTGCCGCCTCAACATAATCTGGCTCTGGGTCCTGGGTGTAGAACACTTCGACTGGGTGCGTCCGTCCAGGAACCTTGAACAAGGGCGCAGGCGCGCCCTCCTTAATTGAGAAGTACTTCTGGAACTTGAGCGCATCGAGTGTAGCAGACATGACGATGATCTTGAGGTCCTCACGGCGCTTCGCGAGTGCCTTCAGCAGGCCCATGAGAATATCCGTGGCAAGAGTACGTTCGTGAGCTTCGTCAAGGATGATCGTGGAGTAGCGCGAGAGGTCGGGATCATTCATGGCCTCTCGGAGAAGCATACCGTCAGTCATATACTTCATGAAAGTGACGCCCGGCTCCGTCATATCCTCGAACCGGATAGAGTATCCGACCTGCTTTCCGAGTTGTACTGCGCAGAGGGATGAGGTAGAGTTTCCTTGACACAATGTCACTATATTACATACCGTCCATCTCATCCGCTACGCGCTTCGCCACTGACATGGCCGCCACTCGACGCGGCTGCGTGCAGGCTACCAATTTGCCCTTGGTATGCGGAAGGTCTGAATAGCACACAAATTGTGGAATCCTGATTCCGGCGTGAGTCAAATTGGCCGATACGGGAGAAGCTATGTGTGTGAAAGGCCTCACTGAGTAGTCTTGCCCGACCCGGTCTCTCCGACCATGACAATGATCTGGTTTTTGCTGAACTTTCTCGGACATCAGTCATGTTCTCCAAGGACGAGGGTGTCGTATGCCTGAAGCAGACTCTGACCTCCCCTCAAGATGGGCAAAGCAACAGAAGCAACTTACGATTTTCAAGAACTCTTCCATTTGCGCGTACACGGGTAGTTTCTTCCTCATTCCGAGGATCTTCTTGTACTGAGGTGTGTGCGGCTTCTTCGTGAATGGGTTTATGTCTCCATCCTACAAGCAGCTCAGTGTTTGCGAGTAGGTCAATCAACTTGAGAGGCGCACCAGTGCCCTCTGCACTTGTGCCGCGGTCACATTTCTGGGAAGAAAACCATAGAGAGGCTCTCGCGCCGCCGGATCGTTGGATGTGCTGCCATCTTTGAGAGGCGGTGCGTTCGTATACGGATTATGTGACATAATAGTAGACGAAGAGCAATTTGAGACGATTCAAATGGTGGTGAACGAGAAAGAATAGATGCAAGTAGGCGCTGATAATAACACACGTGACCTCACGCGTCGCGTCCCGAAGACATTTAGCGCTCATCCCTCCTTACAACCTCGACCTTTGCTTCAGGTATTGTTTGCATTCTTGAATGACGTCTTTGGTGTAAGGTTGCGGTTGCCTACCTCTATCATGATCATTATTCCATGCCCCTTGTGCACACAGTATCTCAGGACACGAAGTTTCGCTAACCTGGAATTTTTTGTGAGTCATGCTTGCTGGCAGGCACCCGATTGCCGCAGTGTCTGGTAGATGTAGGCATTCCAAAGGCCATAGGTATATGCTACCTTGTGACCTGAGAGTATTATGTAGTACTATCTCAGGTGCGTGTTCATTTGCAGAATACGCGGGAGACCCGCGCAGCGATCTGGCATAGCTTCGTCCACAGTGAGTCACGTATTTTCTTCCCTGTATCGACGATGATAACATCTCCGAATGCATGCCTGGTGTTGTGAGGCCATCTGAGAAGACACTACGGCAACGACAGCATCTCTCGTGCTGCAGTCATTACTAGGCCAAATGATTTCATTTCTCTCATCGTCAAAGCAGGCTTGTCGAGTGCAATTGCCTCGACACCGCAGACATCTTCACGAGACAGTACGTGTTCCTGCCTGTTTTTAGTACTCTCTCCCTGCAGCAAGCGGGTGGTGAGTGCAATGTCTGAGAAGAAGAGCATAGAGTCCTGCTCCTTGAACATACTTCAGGGCAGACACCTCATATGTATCAGCACCCCTGTTTCTTTGCAACAGAGGTCCATCAGTGCCTGAAAGCTGTGGATCTAGACCCAGGGCCTGGGCCCTCATGTAAAACACCAATGGCATTTACATCTCAGCAGATTGTAGTGAGTCATTTTCTCACAACTAAGCTTGATGGGCATATGAACCTTCTGATGTTCTGATGTCTATTTAGGACTACAGCAAATCTCCAGCCTGGTCCAAATTTGCATTAGCATGAGGAAGAGAGTATAAAAGTGAACACTTTCTCCAGACTGCAGATTTCACCAAAGCATACCTAATCAACCACGAACAGCCACATCCCCCTCTTGCATCCACCGGTCGAAACAAAGACATAATGCCTGCCATAGCTGCGAACGACATCCCGCAGTGGCGGAACGAGATTCTCGAGCAATATCTTGCTAGCGTACAGAAGGAGCACATCGATGACCACGATAGTGACGAGGCCATGTCCACCGACTCCGAATTCGAATCTGAGGGCGACTCGGTCTCCATCGCTCCCAGCTCGAGCCTCTCCACCGCGTTTTCATCCATCACGCTCTTTGACGCCGTGCAGCCTGACGACATCGATTCCGACGACTCCGCGTTCAGCAGCGAGGACGAATTTGCAGAAGTCGCGACGCGCGAGCAGCAGCGCGTCCGCCGCCTCCTCGTCCTCGGCCGCGCCGCGCCCTCCCTTCTACTCCTACGCCCGCGGCAGCTCACGGACATGAACCAGGCGTACATGAAGCAGCTCAACGATGCAGACGCAGAACTCGCAGAGCTAAAGGGCGTCGAGCCACAGCTCGTCGCGCAGCGCCCGAACGTGATGGAATACCTGCAGCCTGTGGATTTGCATGGTCCCGACGTAGCCGCCATCGTGCACGAGTTACGCCAGCGGTCAGAGAAGGAGATTGCGGAACTAGAGAAAGAGGATAAGGTGCGAGGGGTGGTTCTCTTAGCACAGGCGTTATTCAGAAAGGAGAGAGAAGTCAAGCGGATCCGCAAGGAGCAAGAGAGTAACGAGAACGAGAATTGACCGCTACATACTAGTCGTTGTTATGTGGCACTTACTGTCAAACGTTGCATAGAGCTCATACATAGCTTACCGTTACTTGCGTTGTGCAATTTCATCACCAGATTTTAGGCTGTGATTCATGACTTTGAGACTATAAGTTGGATTTACCGCTGGCGTGTGTCGCCAATTGTCACGTGGGCGCGTCTCGTGTGCATTGTCACTGTCACTGTGTTAGTCAACGTCAAGTTCAACGCTCAACTCATACAAATCAGTCTGCATCAGTCCTCACACCGTCCCTTCGCTCAACTGCCTCGGGAATCAACAAGCTGTCATTTCTAGCAAGGTTGATCACAAACTCGCACGGCTGTCTTTTATTCATCGTGCAGTGGCAGCAATAGGGTGCGAAGACAAGTGCTCTGGTCAGGATTGTGGAACAATGACGCTTTCTTCCAATTAAGCATCTCAGCTCGTTGTTATGCAAGTCAATTGTAAGTGAGCCATGCACGCTGCGGAAAATAAACAAGACGACGCTTGGTGTTCCACTTAAGCACTGTTGTTCGTGCGCTTTTGAGTGGCGCAACACCCAATTATGCAGCGATAAAGTCCAGCTTGTTGTTTGCCCTAGGCATCTGGCACATCATTCAAGATTACCGCACTAGTTTCTTATATGAGATCTCTTCATTCCAAGTATTCAATACACGCGTTCTAATGCATCACGTACGTGGCGAGGGGATCTCGAGATCATTATAAGTACCGAGCGTGCGGGTGCCACAATGCCCCTCCTTTCGACCTCACGATCCAGTTAACCTTGACCATCCCGACCACTCTAACGGTTGAAGCTATCCTTCATATTACGTCCACTTGCTATTCAGATATGCCATTCCACCAACCACTGGGAGCGCGTGTGTCTCCATATCCGGTGAGTTTCGATCTAATAGACTCGGCACCCATGGTATTGATGGTTGACATCCAGGAACGGACACGTTACCATACGGACGATCCTCTGGAATACACCTCGTCACCCTCGATGTATTCAGTTGAGGATTTAGCGTGCTCCAGCGGGCCTCAAACTCACGCCCATAGTGAACGAACGCCCATTGGTGAGCAGCCACAATTGAGAGGAAGATGGAGCAATGCTCATTTTCATCGCCCATTGCATGATACTATATCAGAGTTTGAAGGATCCGCAGAACATGATAACAATTTGCCGAAATGGTTACAGCATCTCCAAGCCGAGGTGAGCAGGCTTAAGGCACCGTTGAAGGATGCACAGTCGCTATCGCCGACGCAAGAGATGTCGGACCATGCACACGCGGTATCACTGTCAACGCGCCCAAACACATCCACCAATGATACTGAAGTCGACTTGGAACGTATAGTACAACAACCTGAGGGGCGACAGCTTCCACCTCCACATCCTTCCTTATCGGCCTCCATTGATGCTATGCCTGAAATTGCAGCCGAGCAGGTTCCCGTACTCACAAGCGAGGCTGACTCTTTTTCTGCTCGCGCGATGCGGCCTGCTAGAGACATTGCCGTAATATATCGTGGACACGCGTTGACAAAACTACATGTCCTGCTTGGTGCTGTACAGTCCTCGCCACAGGAACTCGGACTTGAGCGTCTTTTCCAGGACAAAGTGGATGAGCTCGAGGGCCTGAGTGTCGACAAGGGACTGTCCTGGTGGGAAGGAGTCAGCGCAGAAGTGGATAGTGCCGCCGAAATATGGAAGGAATACCAGGACTATATGGCGGGACGGCAACCCCTTCGACTGCTTAAAGAACCGTCCCTGAAGGCAAGCATGCTCCGAGTAGCATCAGTCAAGCATCGTGAAGATAGATCCTCTCGAAGCGTGCGAGGTTCTCGAGGCAAAGCTAATCAGACCAAACCGGAGGTCAGCATGTTGGATGCTCTCGACACGATCCTGGACGACAAAACCCTACACGGGCCTTCATCGAGACCAGTCCATTCACAACCCGGTGGACCAGGAGTGGTACTGGGTTCCAAGCTTCCGTTCGCGTTTACTGGTGTATCAGGTTATGCTGCGCGGTCGCCCAATGTGCAAGCCCCGCTGTCCGATTTCTTTGCAGCAGCCGAGTCTGCCCCTCGCATACCCCTCAAATCCAAGCGAATGCCCGTGTCCAACCCGACAGATGATTGGGATGACTCAGAAACTATCGGAATGCTACCTCATCCTCCAGAAGACCCCATCACGGTGCTGGCGAAGAATCCATGGACGATTCAAGAGATCATACTTCTCGTAGAAGTCGTGACGCACTACCATCCCGCGAAGTACACCTGGAAACAGATCACCGAGCTATACAACTACGTGCTGATGTTACAACCTGTCCAGGCCTGGTTGATGCAATCACTCCATGAAGCGGGACAGGAAAAGGAAGCGCAGAAGACCTTCAGAGAGCAACTGCTTGCACGTTTGGCCGAGGATCTGGTGGCGAAAGCGGCGGAGGAACAACAAGTGGCGCTGGAATCTTCTGCAGTTCGTCATCGTGCGCGAGGAACAGGACAGAATGCGCCTGCGCATTCTTCGAGGCGACATGGTGAGCCGACCACAAGACGGGCGGTACGCGAACGCAGCCTCAATGGACCATTCGGCAGTCCGGAAGCACAAGAGGAAGCCCGGAGGAGGCGCACACAAGGTCTTGGTGCCAACGACATTCAGTCCACTTCAGGTACTCCTGCTGGGCATCAGAAGACACGCGCTGAGACAGCCAAGCAGCCACTGGCCAGGACTACGACGATGCTCAGTGCTAAAATGCCTTGTCCACCGCCGTTGACGACCCATTCCCATATCGCGCAGCGCTGGAACGACCTCATGAAAATGTTCATGGAGGAATCCACCCCCAGTAACCGCCGCGGCATAATAAATCTGATGGAGTATCTGTATTCGACGCTCGAGCCGAAATATCCGCTCAGGACCCGTTGGGAGATCTGGCATCGCTGGTGCGTATCACCCACAGCGTCCATACGCTTGCCTGAGCAGAGTGGTGCGCCTATGCCCAATGCGGCGACGATGACAGACGAGCCGGGCAAGAGTTATGAGGAGCATTCTGACCTTGCGCAGACTGGCACTTCGGAGAGTCGCATGGACGTGCCATCGCATCCTGTAGGACCTGGTGCTGACGCAGCTGCTCCAGCGCAGCCTCATCCTGTTTTGGGCAACCTGGCGTACGGGCCTGATCATGCGCTCGTCCCGGGAACCTATCCTTCCGCACCAGGAGTGCAGCAGCGCTACGAGTTCTTCGATCCCTGCCTGGGTTTTGCACAACATGCCATACTCGTGTCCACCATTGCCAATGAAGATGCTGCCAAGGATGCGTTAGCGAGAGGAAAATCGGTGCGAACCATCACAGTGCCACACAGTATGCGAGGTGGGTCTGGGTGCGTCGGTGCTTACTCCCATGGCTGTGCTCACATGCCTGAACTGTCGGACAGGCCCACCGGGTCCCCGCCCACCAGCCACATTGAGAGCCAGGGCGTGGCCGAACGTACCCCAGGGCACGCTGGGCTCTCACGATCGTCCTGGGATCAAGACTTGGTTTCAGGGAGCGTGCGTGAACAGGAGTACGCTCCAGGCGCTGTGCGGCTGTCCGGAGCTTTCGCTGCTACCACAGGATGGCCCCGACCGAGTCGCGCAGACGACATGGACATCGATCAGTAAGGGAGACTTGCCGCCACACCTGCGAGAGATGACCATCCCGCCGATGCCAAATACGACACGATATGCCCCGCGATAGTATGCGTTCTCTTAGTCTGGCATGGTACATTTCAATTTCCCTGCGAACGGACGTTACCACCATCACATTCCCTTGTTTTCCATGTTTATGATTATCGCCCCTTGAGCATCCCAGATGTGAATAGCTCGTACCTGTAGCTCCCACATTCCCTTGTGTCCTTGTGTTATCTACCCATCTTTTATGTAGGCAGAAATGCAATCTATGAGGTTATATGCACATTCGTTGATAGCAAGATCACAAGCCGTTTTAGTATTGTGATTCTGCTCAGAAGCTTGCTCGTCTGAAGGCAATTACCCCAGCAGATCGCCTTAACTGTATCAGTCGCAGAGCAGACTCTGGCGAGATGACATCATTTGCCATCAGAGTACAATACACGCGTAGTCCGACCTGCCTTGAAGCAATCCACTTACTCAGGTCTCCGCCAATCAAAAACGTGCTAGACACACAACAATTACTGTGTCTGTGCCCCATATCCGCGAATGCCTTCGGCGAAGTCCCAGTTTGTCTCCAGCTTGATCGCATCAGAGACGGATACCCCTGCACTGGTGACGATACCAATTTGGTACTGCGAGCAATGTTGTCAGATATTACCGGACATTAACAGGAAGTTGGCCAGGCGCACCTTGTCCAAGCTGCGCGCGTCGCGGTAGTAGAGCACACGCATGCACTCGTGCAGCAGTTTCCGCGCGTCCTCTTCTGTGAGGGTGTTCTCCTTGTTGTCAACAGCAGCGCGGAGAATGGGAATCGCAATATACGAGCCATAGCCCGTCGCGATGGATGATGCAGAGTATGTTGTACCGAGGAGGTCAACGTATGCTAAGAAACTACGGACAATATCCTAGTGGGTCAAGTCATGCACAGTCATCACGAAAACGCATCACTCACGGCTTGCCGTCTTGCAGACCGCCAACCAGCAAGGAGTTCCAGAGAGGGTTGAGCTTAGAGCGACGGCCGTACATTACCCGGGAGAGGTATTCATGGACCTCGGCGGGCCCGAGCTCATGGCCATCACCGTTTGTGAATTCGTCGACCATGAGCTCGTCGAGGGTGTGCTGGAGATACTGGAAGTCGGACATGTCGCCGGACGCGCCGATGATGGTGGACGTGCCGACGGGGTGCAGGCGCTGAATGTCCTTGAAGCGGGCGAGAGAGCCGTAGGACGCTGTGGTTGGGTCAGACGCATAACTAAATCATGCTCTGAGAGATGACGGACCGAGATTGTCAGCAGCCATCATAATGCCGTCCTTGAACTTGATGGCGAGGACACTGGTGCCCGTGACAATGGGCTGTCTGAACAGAGGGTTAGCGTATCAGCGACCTATCATGAAGTGTCGAGCTTACTGTGTTCGTTGCACGCCTTCCCCAAAGACATCCTTCGGTTGGGATGGGCGTTGGTGGATCGGATATGTGTTGTATTGATCGTGCAATTCATTTCGCTGAGGTGGGTGAGGGTTATTAGTGCTTCCACTACAGGGTCCTGAATTCGCACTCACTGGGCGGCCCCAGTTTGTCGGAAAGTGGTCCATGGCGGGCGTTGTGTGAAAGTGAGTGGAAGGAATACGCGGAGGTCAGCTTGCGTACTCAATTCACAGCGCGCCGTACGCGCGTCGACGCGCTTTACGTAAGCAGGTGTGCTCATCGCCGCCATTTGGTTGGGGTTAGGGTTCATTCAGTGCATTGTCCTTTCGTTCAGCGATCCGCCCATATAGGTCTGGAATACTCCATGCGACATCACAAAAAATAGCGAAGCTCGCGTACACGGCGAAACGAGAGATTGAAAGCGCTGCGCTAGGTATATGTCCTAGAACAGGTATGTACCCGCCCACAGTTGAAGCTACTGGGCGGCCGTGCTAAACCACAACTCTATTTCAGTAACAGTTCAGCTTTAAGGTTCCGTACTGGACTGGACGGCGTGAAACGCGTCCCAGGCTGACAGCGCTACGCCGTAGGACGTCTGCAATGTCCAGATTGTGATAATCTCTCCGTATCATGCTCCTCGGCGAAAACCTGTATCCGCTATGCGAGGCAAGTAACCGGGATTGCATGCCATGCAAAGAGGATTGCTGGGTTCGGACAGAATCATGGCACAAACTATCGTACGATCCGGTTTCGGCAGTCTAGTGAACAGTAAGCCGGGGTTCTCAAGCACAAGACCCTCAGCGTCGCTAGTCATCGGTCCAGTCGCGCTCCGATAATACAATCTCTTGTTGCAAGGCCCAGTTCCACTTGGGGAACGATGGAGGTATGCACCAATCCAGTCATGATGAAATGTTTTACCGTGGTGCTCAAAGCTGCGCATAACGAATTCCACCTGACGGGGACAGCCATCAAGGCACATCTTGCATCCGTGGACGCTCGACTCAGGGCACGCCCGACGCTAGTGCCGCTCGCCTCGGAGGAAAACGAAATCACTGCTCGGATGCAAATTGATTGAAAAGACGTAGACACTGGGGAGGAAACATTCAATATGGTCATTTCGAATCCGCACTTGCGTAAATCTAGTGCTGACTTGTATGGGTACATATAAACCATCAGTTCAGCGAAACCGGGGGCTTGAAAGAGAGTCAAATGGCTCGTCTCGGCGCTTTCGCAAATGGAGGCGTCGTACCTCTATAAGCGCCCAGGGCCGAGCTGCAACGTGCCCGTACCGCGCACCGCACCAGAACACGCTTGGTTTCTCGAGTTCACATCGAGCATGCACGCTGAGCTACGTGCAACGACCCTGGGCAGTAAGCTCATGTTGCCTTTGATCACATTTCGGTCTTAGGCCGCTCATTGCTTAGCACTGACAACCGGCGTCCACTACGTCGGTCTCATCACTGGTGGCGATCAAACGCCGACAAGTCTTCTGAAAACGTATGCCGCCGGGAGTGCTGGCTTTTTCCCGACTGCGGTGACTTTCGCCCTCTTCCATTCACTGCCCCGCAGGGGCCCACCCTCGCTACGACAATGCTGGGTTCTTGGTTAGCCATAGCACGTGCCGAGAGAAGGCTGGCTCTTTGGGCTATTCTTGCGCATGTTTTCATTGCACGATGTCGCGCGCAAACCCGGGCTTTTCAGTGGACATTCGGTGACAACGTGTGTCGCTTGGCTCTCATCGGTCTGTGCCCGACTTACCTGGTCCGGTCAGTTTCTCTCCACTGAGGTGGAGGAGTGCCAAAACATCGACGTGGTCGTCGAGTCAATTGACACCAACAATGCGTCTGCTCTGGGCGTGGCGCCGTACTACATGATGGCATTTGAATCAGGGGGTGTCCCGACGACTACTTTAGCAGGCTCCAATCCTGCAAAGCTAAACTGGCAAGTGAAGCATCGACGGGGTATTTGACTTGCGATAGTCATCAGCTGTGATGTCGAGCTGGCTGACACCACTCCACAGGGTCTGCGCTCATGCTGACCATGGTGGACACGAACGGTAGTACAGGTGGGGTTTCCCCACATTTGTTCAATGTCACTGGTGCGCTTTTGTCTGGACGCTCTGTACCGCGGGGTGGCTCACGTCCCTGCAGCCGGTAATGACACTTCATGTCTTCCATCTGCACCTGCGTCCAGCATAGCCCACATCACCCCCAACGTGACAGGCTCGGTCTTTACATGCGAACCCTGGGGCCTTACGCTCTCTAACGGGACGCAGCCATACAGCGTTGTGATTGCCGCATTGGACTCGCCTCTCATCACGAATATCTCCGTGCCCCAAGGCTACGATGTGTTCACGTATATCAACCGAGCGAATCCAAATGGCCAAATGCTGGGTGAGTCTATATCGTGCAGTGTGCATGGTCTGCGGTAGCATGAAGTAATGCATCTTGTTTGGACTGTAGCGGCGGTCGTTGACGCGTAAGTATCATCGCATCACAGTATCAGTTTGACGGCTGATAGAGAAGAACTGTTTGATTTGCATCAGAGAAGGCCAGTGGGGTTACGCGACGCAAGTTGTGAACACCGCAGGCAACGCTAACACGACATGTGTTGGCCTAGTCTCGAGCTTTGATACCACTGCCGAGATTGTCGCTCAAGCTGCAGCCAGAGCTCATGCTGCTGCAGAGGCTGCCAAACGTCGGCGGACAGACATCATTGTTGGTGTCGTTGTTGGTGTGTGTGGCCTTCTCATCATCGCCGGAGCAGCTGCATGGTGGTGGTGGAGGCGGGGAAAGGCACGGGAGGACGGGACCTGGGATCATCAAGACACACTTGCCCGCGCATGGGACGCACAGGACTCAACCGTAGCCGAGGTGCCCCGAGCAAGAGAGTATCGGCGCGTAAAGACGTTCTCGCAGGACATGCCGCCCATGACCTCGACAGGCAGCCCGGCATATACGCCTCTGTTGACACAGCCAGTGGACGCCGCGAACGAGCACACCGGCTCCCGCCCAATACCGCAGCCATCGCCTCCTGCAACTCCGCCGCCGGACCGCTCGCGCAGACGACGCAAGGGACAAAAAGCGCCCCGATATACCACTAACGCAAGTTCGTCCTCGGCGTGGTCGGAGTCGAGTCCGGGGCTATCCCGCACGCCTCAGCTCCCTCCGCTGACATTCTCCCAACCGCTCTCAGTGCCGGCACTTCAGGCGTCATCGCCACAGATGTCGACACAACGAAGTCGATCATTCATGCTCAGCCCGTCGATACTTGACCCCGACGTGCAGCCGGATATCATCATCCAGCACCGAGACGGCGGGATCGTCCATGAATTACCCCCGCCATACTTGGATCGCTACGACGCTATGTCTCCCGAGAGTGGATGATATCCACCTTTTCTGTGGGTTGGGCTAAGGTTTGTGAGGCTCTGGTCATTCTCATTCACGCGTGTGTGTGATGGACACGTTACGTTTGTCGATTCTCATGTGGGCTCGTGCGCTTTTGCCACCCGGTAATGTTCGGTACACACGCTCTCTATCGTTCGTGATTAATAGTTTTATATGTAACACCTGCCAGCTAGTGCTATAGTATATATTCTCTAAGGATTCCCAGCATGAATGTGCCGCTGTATTGTAAACACAATCCTTGTAATGGAACAAATAATCTGGGGTTCATCGAGCGTACATGTCAGTCTATCAGAGCTATCTGCCTAAGCACTAGGTTAACTAGCTCAGTAACATAATCAATGGACAAGTCAATAAAACTTACAACGGCCACACGCAGTTTAGGGCAGGTTTGATGATCAATCTACCAAATAAGGCAACGGGTCTTGCGGGAGGGGCGACCGCGGCCTGAATTCTGGACGAGGTCGAGTCCCGACGACCAGCACTGGCCCTCTTGTCGACCCACACCACTTGCTTTCGCACTTGCTGTCAGTGTCGATGCGCACTCCTGACTAAACTTTGCTTGCTTTTGCACCCAATCTGTCTCTTCGCACTTCGTGTTTATAAGCTGTCTGTCCCACACTACCCTACCAGTGCATAGTGCTACATAATCTCCCAATGTCGAACGCGTCGAGTCGCGTGGATTCTCTGACACCATCCCCCGTATCCCGCTCGCCAAGTCCGGAGCCTCCGATCCAACCAGACCACTTTTATCCCTCGGAGCATGCCCACCAGCTCCCTCCGTCTCCGGAGTCTGATGGCAGGACCTGGCTCGACCCGAATGACGACCCCACCGCTTCACGGGGGATTCCCGTGTTCAAACCTACGATGGAGGAGTTCAAAGACTTCGAGGGGTACCTGAACAAGATCGAGTGCTGGGGAATGAAGAGCGGAATCGTGAAGGTTATTCCGCCGAAAGAATGGTCGGTCTTGCAGTAGTTGTGGCCGAAATCTTGTCGGGCTGACTATGTCCGTATAGGAAGGACACGCTGCCATCCGTCACACCTCAGCTCGGAAACGTAAAACTGAAGAACCCTATCGAGCAGCACATGCTCGGTCGCGGCGGCCTTTTCCGTCAAGAGAACGTTGAGAAGCGGCGCGTCATGAGCGTCCGAGAATGGGCCGAACTTTGCGCAAAGGAAGACTTCCGCGCCCCTGGCGTCGACGACACTGGGCTTCATGCGCGAGCGATGAACGGGAACGTGAAGCCACGGACGCGGAGAGCGCGTAGGAAGAGGGAATCGGAGACTGCCGAGCCCGAGGCAAATGAGATCAAGGAGGAAGAGGAAGCTCCTGCCGCCCATGTCCCTGACGCAGGCTCGACATCACTCGCTTCCCCACCCAATAGTATTTCCGCCGTCTCGCCACATCCTGAGGATGACAATACTGAGGCTGAGGCTACCAATAATACCATCATCGAGCACGTAGCAGAGCATCAATTGGATGCTGGCGTCTCGAATGATGTATCCACTTCCGATGCCAACGTCGACGAATCTAAGGCAGATCCTGACGAACAAGAAACGAAATCGCGGGCAAAGGGAAAGCGGCCAGCCCAGGGCCGCAAGTCAAAGGAGGCCAGCCTGGCTGACCGTGCCGAGCGAGACAAGGTATTCCTGGAGGCTTTTGACCCTCACTCCGATTGGCTGCCTTCCAACACCACGCCTTTCGATTACACCCCTGAATTCTGCAGAGAATTGGAGCGGCGGTACTGGAGGAACTGTGGCTTGGGGAAGCCTGCTTGGTACGGCGCCGATATGGCCGGTACGCTGCGGTGTTCATGTGTAAATGTATCGCGTCTGAATATGGATCATACCTTTTCTTTCAGGGTCCCTGTTTACCGAAGAGACTAAGCACTGGAATGTCGCCAGTCTCTATTCAGCCCTGTCACGACTGTTGCCGGCTGAGTCCAAGGGGCTTCCTGGCGTCAACACGCCTTACTTATATTTTGGCATGTGGCGGGCGACCTTCGCTTGGCACGTGGAGGACATGGACCTATTCAGTATCAATTATATTCATTTCGGAGCGCCAAAGCATTGGTACGCCATCCCTCAGGCCAGAGCAAATGCTCTTGAACAGACGATGAGAGGTCAGTGCCATTGAACCCCGTTTGCGGCGCGGCACTGAGTATACAGTTCCACAGGTTATTTCCCCAAGGATGTATCAAATTGCTCCCAGTTCCTTAGGCACAAGTCATTCCTTGCCTCACCTAGACTGCTCGCAAGTGATGCATGTCGTCCGAACACACTCGTGCAACACGCAGGCGAGTTTGTCATTACCTTCCCCATGGGCTATCATGCCGGCTTCAACCTGGGCTTCAATTGTGCGGAAAGCGTGAATTTTGCGCTCGAAAGCTGGCTGGATCTTGGCCGGAAGGCGAAGGCCTGTGGCTGTGTCAATTTTAGGTATGTCGTCATGCCGGAACCTAACCCTGTGTTGTATAATTGAACTGCATCGTCATGTATAGTGTGCGCATTGATGTCGATCAGCTTCTGCATGAACGCGAGGCTGAGAGGCTTGCCCTGGGCCTCGAGACAAACAAGCCCCGACGGCCCAAATCTGACTCGAAAGCCCGGAAAGATTCTAAGTCTAAGCGACCTCTCGAGGAAGACGACAATCAACCTAGGGCAAAGAAGCAGAAAACGGTTAAGTCCGCGAAGAGCGATACCAATTCAGCGGAAGCTTCGTCGTCGAAGCTACCGAAAGCCTCGCCGACGAAGGTCACCCTGAAACTGGGTCCGAAGCCGAAGGAACCGGACACTTTCCCCTGCTGTCTCTGCGTGTCGATGAGTCAGGAGAACCTCCTGCGTGTGCAGGATCCTCCCGAATGGCGGCTTCCCCAGGCCGACGGAGCACCTGCTGTTGATGCGGCGAGTGTGGTCTGGATGGCTCACGAGAACTGCGCGAACGTCATCCCGGAGACCTGGGTCGACGTGGTCGAAGTCGGCGACGTTCGAGAGGATGGCACGAGGGCAAAGGAACGTGTTGTCTTCGGAGTTGATGCTATTGTGAAAGATCGTTGGAACTTGGTCAGTGAAGTCTCTCGTTGTATCATGGAGCCTTACTGACACTGTATGTGCTACAGAGATGTACAGCTTGCACCAAGACACGACATCGGGCACATGGCGCGCCAATTCAGTGCACGAAGGGCAAGTGCCCGAAGGCCTTCCATGTCACCTGCGCCCGGGATGGGAGCCAGAACAACATTGTCTACAAAGAGTTGCGTGAGGTGGAGAAAGAGGTTGTTCTGTTGGAACCACTGCCAGCATCGGCGGCTGCCCAACAACCTGCCGCTGAGTCGAGTGGTGTCGCTCTTGCTCCAGCTCAGCCCCCGTTGGATGCAGCCGCTGCAGGAATAGCGAATAGTGCCGAACTGACCGGCCCTCGTGTCCTCAAAATGATTCGTAAGGTCGAAGTGCAAGTGCTTTGTTCCCAGCATAATCCAGTATGTTCTAATTTATGAAATGGGCAAGCGCAATATACTAATTCCACATGTAGGCTGTCACAGATGCCAAGCGGGCTCAGAAGCAGGATAGAATACGCAACAACTTACTTGCTCTGCCGCAAATGTCGCGGATCAAGTTGCGCGTCAGTGCAGGCATCTGGGAGGTGTCTCTACTTCGAGTGATCGAGGAGACGTCATCCGTGGAAGTGCTCTGGGATCGAGGGGTCAAGAGAGAATTTAAGTGGGGCAGTGTTGTCTTTGGTAATACAGAGGGCTTGACGATCGGTCAAAAACCTACGGAAGCAGCGCCAGAACTTGAACGTGAGTACGACGTGACCAGCCTTTTGGACGACCGCTCACTTGGAATTGTACGTGAACAGAGCTAGTCCCCCCGCGCCCAAGCAACCCGTCCAGGGTGTCATTTCATTCCAGTACACCTGTTCCAGGTAACACTTCTCGGCAAGCAAGCATTCCGGCGTCAACCCCTGCTCCCATAGTGGCGTCCATGACCCCGACTATGACGACTACCCCGACTGGAGTCCCTCAGGCTGCGCCCCCGGCATACACATACCAATATCCGACAACGTGGAAGTACTCCTACTTCCCTAACACGAATCAAGGATATGCGACGGCAGGACCGTCAGGTCAAGCTGGCTACTCGTATGGGTCATCAGGGCAGCCGATATATAGTCCGCCTGCCTACTCCGCGTACGGTGGTTACCACTACCAGGCTCAACCTCCACCCCAACCTCCGCCTCAGCCCCAGCCTCAGGTTCAGTCTCAGCCTCCACCATTCCAATCTCGTGGATTGCAATGGCAACGACCCTATACGGGCCCGAAGGTGGCTGAAACTAGCGATGCTCCTGTCCCTGTGGCCACAACACAGACCGTTCCGTACTATGGTCAATACAATGCAAGGAGTCAAGCACCCGCTCATCCCCCTGCTCAGCCACAGCCTTGGCCAGGAACGTACATGGCGTCTACTGGTGCACCTTCAAATCCCCCTACTGCTCATTCATCTGTTCCTCCATGAGCCTTTGCGATATTGCCACTGGGTGAACAAGGAGGACTTGATCGCAGTCGTTTCGCGCGTCATACCATACGCATGTATTCTTATTGGCTATCAGTGTAATAGTGTATTTCTGGGGATTATCCAATCGTTCACCGACAAAGGCCTTGGTGTTCTGGAAATGAATCGCGCCACTGGGTGAGCACGTGATCGTGTACGACACTACGCGTCGAGTCGCGTCCAGAGTCACTCAGGGGCGCGTCCCTCTTCTTTCTGGCTGCCGCATGTCGCCGCACTCTGCGTGCACCAACTCAATTCAGTCTAAGGCATGTGGGTGGTTACAGGTCCTTTCGATGGTAAAGAATCCGACGAGCTACAGCCTGCTAGTAAGTCTCTCTGATCGACGGTGGGGACTCGGGCCGAACAATCATTTCTCATAGGCTCGAAACTGTTGAAAGCAGGGAAGACATACACCATAGGGCGGAAGGACCAGTCTCTTGTAATTAGGCACAAGAAGATCTCTAGGGAGCATGCTCGAATTGGTGTGGATCTGTGCTCGGAGCAGGATGTGGTAGGTGGCAGCATGATCCTTAGAGTCCTCATCGTAACTTTGTTTCTGTGTAGGCCAATCCAAAATCCGCTCCGCCACTGTGGATTGAGATTATCCGGTCAGACAAGAAGAAAGAAGTAGCACGACATTTAATACGTGTTGGCCAAGAGTTACCCATTTCTCTCAATGCCGGGGAAAGGTTCCAATTGCAGGACGGCGACTCGATAGAGATGGTGACTGGGGTTCCTATAAGGTCGGTCATTACCATCGTCATGTCGCGTCGAGGAAATAATCGCCAGGTCGGTCCAGCTTGAAGTGGCAACAGGTCTGCTGCTATTGGTCCCCAAAAGACGACCCATCGATCTCACTACAAACCTGTGCGAGTTTGGGTGAGCGATTATGTTCATCCTCCATTCCACTTATTATAATGTCAATAGGTATACATGTCGTGCCTACTCTCCGACACGAGGTAACACACCATTTGGCATCAGCTTTGACGCTTTCCCCGGAGTTGGCTACTTCAATGATATCTGTAGCGGTCATTGTCAAACCAGAGTGGCTGGCTGAAGTCATCCGTCTCGGTGAATCTGCTGATGACGCCCCATCACAACTCGAACGAGAGTTCAAACCTCCTCATGTTAGCAAGTACCGTCCCACGTTCTCGCCCTTTCTCCCAAGCCCGGTGAAATCCACCAGCAGGTGGGAACCAAATGAGGCACGTGTAGGATTATTCAGGGGCTACCGCTTCATGTTCGTCGGGGAAAAGGGCCGAGAGACACAAGATGCTATGAAGGAACTTGTCAAGCGTGCAGAGGGAGATTACGAGTGTGTCGCCGTCGAGGGCGGCCGGAGTGCGTGGCATAAGGCCCTTGCAAAGGGTAAGAGTAAGGGGAAAGCCCTTGTGCTGGTTGCGGATGAGGGGAGCATGAAGATAGCTATAGGGCAGGATCGCTGGCAGGAGTTTGTTGACGAGGCCAAAAGGTAATTCTCCTCTGACTAGGCAAGTATATTTCTAACTACCACGTGCATTGGCTAGCTTTGAGCTGCGCTTCGTGAACCGCGCCAAGGTTATAGAAGCTGTAATTCACATTGATATACAATTCATCGACTCAAGCCTCAAGGGGGGTGACGGTCAGTAGACTAACCAACAGCAATCAAATGTCGTTCTCATACCTCTATAGCCGACACCCAGTCTGGTTCTCCTCTCCCCGATGTTGTCCAGAACACTCATCCGGATGAACCATCGATCCCACCACAAACGCAAGAACCTACCCCTGCCCTTGCTTCTGAGGCGCCGCCTCCGAGGAGGCCACTAGTGCGACGTCTACCATCGCGTGCACCGTCGCGGGCTCCATCGCTACCTCCAGATACGGCATCGGCAACGACGGTTGAGGGAGCGCAACCCCAAGATCCAGACGCTCCGAAACCGCGACGAGTAAGTCTGGCTTCACTACAACTTGCGAATTGCTTTTTTAACACTGTACGCCAGCAACTAGTACGCAGGCTGGTGAAGCCGAAAACGACAATAATCGGTGTTGATGATCCTTCAGTCGAGTTGGATGGAGAACCTGCATTGCAGCCGTCTACTTCGTCCACAGTGCAAAAAGAAGATGCGCCACAGGTGTCAAATAACGACGCTCCCGTATGTTTCGGCACTTCACGCTTGCTGATTGAACCTCACATGTGTGGTTGCTACTAGGAACCGTCTCGAGCGCCGAGAAGACTACTGAAGCGTCGCCTTGGGCCTAATGGTCCACTGGCTAGTCAAGTTCCGCCTCCTTCGGAGGACACGTTGGCCGCAGAACCCGAGGAGCCGCCGCTCAAGAAATTCAAAGCACTCTTCGAGGAGAGCGACCCGGCCAGGGTTGCGCAATCAGGCATGCAGTCTGGCATTTCGACCGGTCAGACGGCTGACGCCGGTGAGAGCATTACGCAAAGCGAGAGCGGCACTACGCAGGTGCATCCTCGGTTACGGGCTGGCGGTCGGACACAACTGGCTGCTCTTGCGGAAGAGGAGGAAGAGAGCATGAGCGGCGCGACACCTGATTTGAATGTGCTGCAGCCGAATCAAAGCCAGGGCCTCAAACGGAAGACGCCGATGGAGGAAGACGAGGACGTGGAGATGGTCGACGAGGAGGGCCCCAGACCGAAGAGGCGTGCGGTAGAAGACGTGAATGCCGTCCAGAGCTCGGCTTTTGGTGCGGTGGGCAAGCCGCCTTCGCAGGCTACTGCCAAGCCTTCGTCAAGGGCTGACCAGACGCAAAAAAGTCAGAAGCCGTCTGGCGCGGCGCCGGGCAAGCCAGACATGGACGAGGCATTCCTCAAAGCCGTTGCCACGACAAAGCGGGGAAAAAGGGCAGAGGACACCTTTGACAGAGAGTTCAACAACCTGCGGATCTCGAAGCCGGATTTAGACAGAGATGAGCAGCAGAAGGAGTGGGCTGTGCTGGACGACTTTGGTGATGATGGCGATATGAGAGGGAACTTCATGGTTATCGTCGAGATGGACGTGCACAGGAAGGACGGCGAGCAGCGCGCTCTCAGGGCGGGCGGTGGGAGGACGGACTGGGAGGGTCGGCCGGATTTCAAGAAGTTCAAGAAGGCACGTCTATTACAGCCAAGTCCTCCGCAGGTGCTCACGTAGAAACAGAAAGCCCCTGCAGGAAGTCGGCGTGCTGTTGAGCTGTATGCCGAAGATGCTGATGACTATGGCGTTGGGCCGCGTAAGTCCATCTGTAGATCTTGTGCGTTCGTTTATTGACATTGAACCCAGAGTATTGGAAGGGTTCCTCCCAACTGCCATCCCAGGCAAAAGCGGACTCGAAATTGCAATCTCATTTGGACTCCAGCGAGATCACGCACACGCAGAGGCAGAAGCCACGATCCGGCACTCCACACACAAGGCATACCCAAGCTGCTGACCTGGACAACTACGACGACAGTATGGACGACTCTCAGCCTGTCGAGAAGCCGAAGACACAGAGCAGGGCGCCATCCTCTCAACCGTCGAGAGCGCGCACGCGACAGACGCAAGGCCGCGGAAAGAAACTGCCGTTGTTCATAGAGAGCGATGATGATGTAGAGAAAGATGCATCGCCACCGCAAGATGAAGATGAATTCATCGACGACATCCAGTCAGGCAGCGACCACGATCTAACATTGCGCTCTACAACAAGGACGCAGCGGCCCTCTCAGCGTAAGTCTACGAGGGCGGCCGCGACGAGGGAACAAGCCCCGCCAGTGCTCGTCGACGACGATTCAGATGATGGCGCGACCTTTAAGGGGTTCGGAGCGAGGAAGACGAGGAGAACGTAGTCGGAGTTGGTATATTGCGATTCATATAGCTTTTTCTCGGACACAGGAATAGACTGTTCATGAAGTTTATGTTGCGAGAACAACATTTATCGAAAATATTTGCGCACGATTGGATCGAGAGGGGATTGCCCAAACAGGATGGCAGTGGCGGGGTCGCTCCCAAGTCGGCCATTTCATTGGCGGCCCACTGCTGGCAGCACCCGCCCTCCCCTTCGCGTCCGCGCCGGTCCATGGCTTTCTTCATCCGCCGTCGCAGCTTTGTCCGCATAATCTTTGTCGCTGCGTTTGTCGTGCTCATCAGACTCTTGCTCGTGTCTTCGTCTACGGCGTCTTCAGTTTCCTCGTTATACAGTCCTAATTCTCAAGAGATCCGAAAACAAAATGTCCTTGACCTCGTGGCCCGCTCGGACAAGCCTCTCGATGCTCGGAAGTACAAATTCCTGCAAGCTCGCATGGGCAGAGACGAGAGGAAGGATCTCTTTCACGACGTCATAAGGAGTGGTGTATTGGATTTCTGGGAGAGATTCCAAAAACCCTAGTGCGTAATCCGTCGGTTTCGCGACCCGCTTTGTCTGATATGCTGCAGTATTGTTGGGCGTGATACCGCACATATGGATGAGCAGTTGGTCCTGTCCTCCATCGAGCAACTCTTGGCCTTGAACGGCTGGGTTGCTGCCCTCTGTCCCACCCTGACCCGCCCATTCGGCCAGAACAAGTACGAAGACGCGTACGAAGATCTTGCCAAACAGGATCACCTCTATTTCATCGGTATGGTCATACATTCTGCGGACCATTTCCTTGTAGACCAGCTGGCCGTCATCGTCCAGCTCGCGAGGCGGTTTGGCAGCTCAAATTTATTCGTCTCCATGCTCGACTATGATTCTACCGACTCTACCGCTACCCTTACAGACTTGTGCGAGGCAGTGCTCACTCTGCTAGGTGTCCCATTCCGCATCCGCAGAGTTCCAGGAATGACTTTCGACCCTGTCGCCGCTTACTACCCTCTTGAAGAAGCATATACCCGAAATCTAGTCCTCGAACCGCTTCATGAATTGGATGAGAAGCGTAATATCAAGTTTCATAGGGTAATTTGGCTCAAGGGGTTCACATGCCCGAACGACATATTGGAGACGATTAAGTTAAGTATCACCAATGAAGCGGCCATGGTGTGTGGTATGGACTGGGCCGAACACAATGGCTTCTTTATCTTTTCAGACCGGTATGTTCAGAATGATTACGAATTGAATGTCTCTGACAGTGTTTCAGGTGGAGGACGCGCGACATCAACGGAGACCAGTTCCGTCAGTCCAAATCATCTTCGATATCCAACTCTCCTCTTACTTCAGTTCCGCCTCGTGATGTGGTCGGCGCTCAGCGCTACACGCAACATCTCCCTTTCCAAGCCTTCTGCTGCGAGTCCGGGACGCACGTCGTAGACCCCGCCCAATCGTATTATGCAGGAATTGCCTACCGCGCAGGTACAAACTTCCACAACGCTAGCACGCCTGCAGACGCTCCGATTCGGCACCCTGATGACAAGTGTCTGGACAGCACACAAGGGTGGTTCTGCAGGGACCTCTGGACGTGGAAAGCGAGGCAGGGACTGCGCGCGCTCAGTGCAGATGACAGTGAGGCTGCCGGTGCCGTGAAGGACGTTGTGGCCAAGCGTGCAGTGGATGACGAGCAAGTCGAACCCAGGCAGGTGGAGAAGGAGGATCTGGACGCCGACGCAGGTTCTGACTATGACGCGTCCGACCCAGAACTCGCGGACCCACCGCCGGCGGACTCGCAGAGCCCCTTAGACCTCAGCATGCCCAACTCTGTCTTTGTCCCAGCACGCATCATGGTGAACCCGCGGTGTGTCACGACGTACGCCGGGGTGAAGCACACGCAGCTCGCGCTTGACCTGTTCGGACCACCGGACCGTGAGGAGCGCACCGAGGATATGAAGAGCAGGGATGTGCTTGACAAGTGGGAGAGCGCGCCGGAGACCTTTGTGTGCCAGGAACAACAGTACGTTCAGCTCGGCTCTCGTGTGTTATTCAAACACTGATATACTTTGGTAGACGTACTGGTGGTAGACGAGCACCAAAGACTCAGAGGCGCCTTAGCTTCTCGATTCACAGGGAACTGGAGGTAGCTTTGACTACATAGCCTGTTTGCTGAATAAGCAAAACCAAGTTTGACATGAAAGACAATGCATTATTTATGAATATTCACCTGAATTGTTCCTATGTGCAAATTGTGATATGCAGGCCCTGGCTTCGAGCCATCAGACCCAGTGGAAAAATAGCTCTGAGCTGATTGATGCTGGTGTGAGCTCTTATGTGTTATTGATTGCCATCTGAGCTCTTATGTGTTGATCAGAGCACAATATGAGACTTGTGTTAACATCTAGACACTTGTTAAATTAAGATCTGATGTTTATGAGCTTAATGCTGGTTACTTAACATAACAGATGCCATTAATGTCTGCATCATCTCAGTGCTCTCATGAATGAAGGCCTGCCTGTCTGGAATCTGTTACATCAGGTGTGCTATCTTTTGCTTCCTAGCTGACATCTTTTTTTTTTCCTCCACAGGCACCCAGTTTTCCTCTCCCCACCTCTGTCTGCTGTTTTTTTCCCTCTCCCCACTGTTATACACACTTACTGTTTTCCAACTTGTGCAAAGAATGACAAAGCTGCCCAAACTGCATATGTCTGTCACATAGCACAGCATATGTGTGCATCTTATTTGACACAGAAACTGGGGAGATCACATGCAAAAGGATTGCACAGGGTTGCACACAACCTTGGTACACAATACTGTTAATTCTCTGTTACATACAAAAATTGCATGTGTCATGGTCATGCAACATCTCATCTAACAAGGAAGCTGGAGAGTTTATGCACAAAAAGATTGAGTGGGTTTGCACACAACCTTGGCATGCAAATCTTAATGCCTACTCCTGTTGATTTTCTGTTTTATGAAGCTTTATCTTTGCTTTTTGCATTTCTGAGCATTCCCCACTGTCATGAGTATGATACATCATGGACTGTTTTCTTCATCTTTTCTTTTTCCCTTTCCTGGGTTCACACCAGTAGCTGATAGCTCCATACATGATCTATGCTAACTAGCGAGCAATCATTATACATGAATATCGCTAGTTAGCAATCCAGGTGAGTCATACATGATGCATTCATTTCAGGCTTGCCATCATACACACTGTCATGTATGGCACATATATGGCACTGCCTCATGTCCTGCATTCAGTGTGAGCACAACATCATATATGGTGGCACTGATGTGCATATCAGTGACATCGCTTATATATGGTAGCACCTCATGCCCCGCATTCAGTGCAAGCACACCATCATGTATGGTAGTGCTGACATGCATATCAGCTGTGTTGCTCATGTATGACCATGTGTGTGCTCCATTATACATGGCAGCACCTGGCCTGCGTATCTGCACCCACTGCTTTGCTTATATATGACGCCGCTTTGCACCCTGCATTCAGTGCGAGCACGGCGATATGGTGACACCTAACCTGTGTGTTAGCTACCTCATGCTCCCAATTCAGCATGAGTGTGGATTGCACATACATGATAATGTGTTGTGCCTGCATTCAACATGAATACACTGTCATATATGACACTGCCTGATCTGCGACTCAGTCTCAGTGACATCACTTGTATATGGCAGTACCTCATGCCCCACATTCAGCATATGTGTACTATTATATATGGCAGTGGCACCTGGTCTACATATCAGCCACCTCACTTATATATGATGCTGTTTCACGCCCTGCAGTTAGCATGAGTGCAGCATCATATATGGTGGTGCCTGATTCACATGTTAGCTGCCTCGCACCTCCAATTCAGCACAAGTGTGGTCCATGCATATATGACGTTGCCTTGTGCCCTCAATTCAGCATGAGCACACTGTCATATATGACACTACCTGACCTTCAATTTGGTGGTGGTGCCCTGCTCACCACTGGTTTGGGAAGCTGCATCACCCCAGTGCGCCCCACCTGACCTACATATAGTGGTGGTGCCCTGCTTCCTGCATCGCACTCATGCACCCCACATTCAATGCTCGTGTGCCATGATATACAACACTGTGCTACCCACATATCAGTAGCAGAGCACTTTTTGCCCCTTTGCATGATGCAGGGCATGGCATCATATATGACCTGTAGATATGACTTGTATTGTGGTTGCATACCTAGCTCTTGGCATCTTAATACTTGGTGGCTCACCCTTCATGTATGCTGTCATATATAACATATATAATGCTGCTGCAGGCCAGACAATGCACTCAGACCGGTCATGTATGACCTGCCGCAAAGTAGCACAATATGGCAGCCAGTCATGCCTAACCTTCCCATCCAATAGTGCACTCAGGCTATGGTCATGTATGACTAGTGAGTGCTAGCAAAATAGCAGTAGGTCATACATGATCTGTTAGCACAGTGGCTTGCCTTTTACTTTAATCACATGTCTATGTATTAGGCAGGTAGCATAATATATATCAGTGAGGGACATTGAACATGCAAAATCATACACTAAGCATGTGTGTATCTGATTGTAGTTATGTGGTCAAGGGACTTGGACCCAGAAGAGATTTATCTAACACTCAGAAGTTTGTCACCATTCAACAGAGAAAATATATTCTACTACTTCTGGAGAGACTAATGCTAGAAAACTGTCACAAGTTGACACAGCATTTAGCCGTTTTTCAATTTTTTTCCTTTCTGCGGGCTCGAACCTGCGACCTCTGTACCATACACTCAAATGGACAAGTCCTTATCTACTGTACAATTAGATTAGATGGGGCGGCAGTGCACAGCATAGCCCGGGCACTGCTGACATAGCCACGCTGACTCACCGGCCCCTGGGGCCGCGTCAGCATGCTGTGCACAGACCAGCTGCGCACAGACCAGCGCGCACAGCCTCCCCTAAACTTCCCCTGTATATAAGCCGGCCTCTGCTGCCCTAGGGACCTCAGTTTCAACCTCTTGTTCCTAGGTCAGTAAGCCCCTGTACTTACTTACTTTCCTATGCTAATTAACTTGTTCCTAGCCTTAGGTTTGAGCTTTGCTCACCATTGCTTCAATGAGACCCAGTTGAACACCTTTGTTTGTTCCCTGTTGCTTGACCTCAAGTCGTGACATTAGGTCAAAACTCCCCTCGCTGCCGGTGTTCACACGCAACTCCTTCATTCATTCACTCCCTACAGGTCAGGTGGTACACACCCCTACTATACCATACAATATGTAAATAGCCTACATACATCGCCACCACTTAGGAGACGAACTCTTCAGTACCTGCACTTCAGTGGGCGGTACTTGTCCTCACAGACGCATGGATTAGGTTCCTGCTACATACTAGCCAAAAGCAGTACTGGGCCCCACGTGAACTGCAAATCCTAGTGTTATCTCGGGCGCTGTAGGTGATACAACGGTCTATACTCCTATGTTGATGCCTGACTTGTAGACGACAAGTGAGGGCTTATGGACAGTGCGTCGTCCTGAAGATCAAGCAAGGAAGTCGAGAATGACCACTACCCCAAGTGAAGAGGAGCAGAGACTTGAATGAATAACTAGGTTGAACTTAGGGTTCGACCGACTAATGGTACAACTAGTTATACAAGTACCGACTATGCACAGACCACTGTATCTGTGTGGTCGTGTTAGTAAAGAAGGAAACGTAGTGGTACGATACCAGGCACGAAGTGCGCATGGACCCCATTATGTAAGCTACATAATGTTCAACCCGCAGGTGAGCGCTAAGACGGGCACCAGTATGGGCACTAGTAGTACAAGAAATAGAATGGAAAGATAAATGTTTCATTACCCCCCTGCCAGAGTCGAAGTCCCATTCGACTACTTACTGCTCACCATCTCCATACAACTCCCAGTCTACGCCGTCATCCTCCTGTTCATCGAACCACTCATTGCGCGCATTCCTCCCCACGTTCTTCCATTCCTCACCAGAGAGGTGCTCCTGACGTGGCCAGGAGCTGTCCCACGTCCATTGAGTGGTGTTGGGTGTCTAGTCGGGGTCGACTTTGTGAAAGACAATGGGTGTATCGGGGCGGGGGCATGAGGATCCTGCAATGGGACTAGCCTGGGGTTCAGGGTTAGCACTGCGCAGTGAGGGGATGGGTACCGCCTTCGTCTGCCTCTCTCTTTCCTTCCTCTCCTTTGCCTCGTTGATGATTCCCTCGAGGAACACGTTGTCGACGACCACCCCCACACGTCGCGCAGGTTCTTCAGGTGGTGCGGATACGTGTCGCTTCATCGGCCTGGTTCTGCATTCCCGTTCCAGGTGTCCAGAGGCTTCCTTTCTGCATCTTGTGCATCGTATGTCCGGACAGTCTCGTACCCAGTGTCGAGACGATCCGCATTGCCTACAGCTTCCCTTCGGGGTCCAACCAGGGTTGGGTTGCCAGTCGGCCGGGATGGTAGTGCTCCGCGGCATTGCTTGGAGAAAAGGGGATGGGATTGGGGGACGCCTGAAGGCAGACATCGGTAGGGGTGCGGGTAGGGGTAAGTACGCGTTGGGGATGGTGCGCAGGATGAATTTGTTGTGTCGCGCCCGGATGCTGTGCGGTAGGAGCAGTTGAAAGCGATGGGCAACTTTCAGATTGTCGAGTCGAATGAGCTCGGTGAGGACTCGGTCGTCCTGTTGACGTAGGAGCCACTTGTGGTGGTCGATGGCCTCGTTGGCTGCCTTGACAGCCTCGTCGTATTCGCGGCGGGCGGAGAGATACACTTCTAGTGCAGCGTGGTCAGTGGTATTGGTTGCCTCAGGGTGATGGGTTTTGAGTTTATTGAAGACATCGGTGGGGTTACTGAGAAGTAGCGTCAGCAAAGTGCTGTCGCCGACATGGGTGTGCTTAGGGGTGTAGATCGAAATCCTCTTTCCACCCTCGGTTGAGGGGGCGTTGAACTGATCAAGGAACGGGAGGGTGGAGGACATGTTGGTACGAGTGGGGGGTGTAGCGACTGGGTTGAGCTGCTGTCGACTCAGCTCAAGTTCTTCCTCTTCTTATACTCCATTAGCACTTTGTCCGCAGTCCCTGTCAGGTTTGCTTCGGGTTCCCATGAGTCATCCGCAGTTGAGTAACCCTTCCACCTGACACGATATTCGCGGCGCCGCATCC